GTATAAATTGGTTAGAACCACATTTACTTGACCAAAATGGCACTTTTTTGTTATCGCGACCCCTACAAAGACTTTCTTACCATCCATCTTCATATTCTGACATTGTTTTCTCAATTGCGAACAAAAATGAAAATTAATGAAAACAAACATCAGCTGAATTCATAATCACATTCGCCGTCGTCTTACGTATCAAGTTTTTGCTATCAACACATCTACAATATCAAAAAGAGACCATTGCATTGCACACTTACTTTTTTTCTCCATTTATCTCATTCTCTCACTGTCAACTGACTTTGAATGAGTGAGTACACAAAAAAATAAAATTACGTAGTGGTTGCAACGAAATGAAATACCTGTTGAACCTGTAAGCTGTATAAATGCTCGTAACATTGACATTCAAATATGGGCAAACGATATATTGATCTTGAATAAAATCAAGCATCCAGCAGCAATAAAAAACTGTTTTAAGCAATGCAGACTCTCTTGAGTATTTTTATCAATGAGCAAAAAAAGAGCATAAAAGCAGTTATGTCCGGAAATTTCATTATCATACTCTATTTCACCTTCTCGTGAACTTTTCATCTTCAAAACAGTTTGAGCAAATGTTATATAAATAATTAAATCGATAGCAGACACTCTTGTGATATGAATGAGTGTCAAGAGATCATGAACTTTCATCAATATATTTGTATGTTCAGCATAACGCTTTATAAACAAAAATAAAACAATGAATGAGAGAAAGGGAATTGCATGTTATATGTACCGTGTATCCTCCCGTCTCATAAACAATAATTTATTGTTCTGTGATGATTAACTCTAATCTCATCATCATATCAAATTGCAACAATACAATGGTTGGATATAACATCGCTGAATCTAAATTTAGAAAGAATTCTTGAGTGCTTTAGTTTGAGTGGATGAGGCGCTTAATTCTATCAAGTTTGCAATTTTATGAAGTTGCAATTTTATAATTTATTTGGAAGTTCACTGTTTCTTTGTAAATCTGGTCATAAAGCACCATAATCTGCATAAACTATGTCAAACTTTGGGAGACATACACTTTGGGAGACTCCATTGTCTTGTGACGTATCCTTACAAAATAAAGAAAATTAATGAAATCTTTCACAAGACTTGATTTTTATTGATAGACATTATTCATGAACAACTATATGTTCAAAATGAACTGACTCAACCAACGCACTTGCTACAAAAACCAGCTAAAGAAAAGCATATGAATTGATGATACATTGTTAGGTCTTGAACTTGTCTCATACCGAAGTAATGAATTTATTAATACATTAACGAATAATAATAATAATATATGCTAGATGTACGAGATGCTTTACTCTTTAGATGACCTTCACGAGATTACTAAAACTCATTCGCGATTCTACATAACAACAAACAGACGTTCATTAACCAAAAGCCATCAAATGACTTTAATGTATATTAAATCAAACAGATGATTAAACACATGTTGTGTTGTTGCTGTTTAATGGATGGGGTATAAGGTACAAATGTACAGATAGATATGGATAAATAGATAGATGGAGAGAATCGAAATAAGTGAGTTTAAGAGCAGATATTCTACGAGTGAGTGAAGTGGGAGATGAGAAGCAAAACAAAGAAGATATTACGTAACATTGACAAGCAGCGGCAGTAGTAGCATGTTAATTGATCATGAGATGTAGGCTAGGAAAAAAATATCTCGAATACTGATTATTATACAATTGTTAATGTAAAATTTATTATGCCACAAGTTCTGGCTATTTTGCCTACTAAATGATTCAATCTACAGCAGCAATATATCAATCGGTGTAATTTGCATGGATTTCGCACCTATTAATAAGCGAGGAAAAAAAAACCTCAAAGAGACAAAGCATCAAGTGCTTGGAATTGAATTAAAAGGAAACGACATCGTTCATAAAGCTGCTCGTATGATAATGAAAATTCCAATCGCGAATTCACTCCACGTGCCATTCAATGGCAAGCTGAACTAAACTGACTAATTACTTCTAAAGGCATTCATTTATGTGTGAATGAGTCTATTGAGGACAAAAGAATTGTATTTTTGCGTAGGATGCTGGACGTATTGTTCAGCACAAGTGTAAATACCCTTAAAATACTTAGAACTAATAATAATGATGCGTGCTTATAATTTCTTTCTAATAATGAAGTAGGAATTCGTGCGTTTATCCTATAATGTTTTGTAATCTATCGGCAATTACTTTTTTCGCCCCCGACTTACTTCTCATTCTTCGATATCATAAATTTACGCTTTAATCCATTCATTCTCATTGCATCACATCGTTTCATTGGAAATATATGGATATATGCGAGTGATAGTAGGATTTAATATGTTTCCATGGAAGTGAAATTGCAAACAAAAAAAAAGAAAGATAATTACAGCTCAGCTCAATAGATGCATGTAGGATGGGAAATGAAAATGGTTTATGCTGAAAATAATGTGAGATGGAGCAATTAATAAAAAGCTGTCATGTTATTGAGACGTTCTCATCAGAGTTATAGAATTTCCTCAATCAATTGCAATCAAATGCTTTTTACCAACAATTGTGTGATATCGATTTTTCACAGAAGCTTTGAATTTATTGTCATGAAAAGAGAAGATACTGTTGTCATATATTGATAAAGAAATAAGTAAATGAGTGATTTTAAGCTTTTAACGTGAGATTCTTTTTTTTAAAAAACAATAGAGAATCATAATCATCACCAATTGTCTTTAAAAGTGACAAAGATTATTCAAAAACTTATTTACAAAGAATGTGAAGCAATTCTGAGGCAGTTTGCTGATATTTATACTATTCTAGTGTATAGCTTAAGTATATCATAGACTTAGGGAAAGTTTGCGTCCAGCAATTCGAATAACAGCCCCTTACTATCCGGTACTTGAATCCAAAATGTGATACTCACCACACTTTCATCATAAATCTGACTTTGTTTGCGTCATGAGAAATAAAAATGTGCCTATAAAATTGTTAAAGATTCATTTGCATATTATGTAACCTAGATACAGGAATCTCTTTCCCAGGAAGTGTTCAGTAATCTTCAAAAAACCATTAGATATGCCCAAGGAGAAAATAACGTGATGGGAAATTCAAAACTTTTCTAAAAATAAATGTTCCTTTATTCAATGCTGTTTCTTGCTCAAAAGAATAATCTGACACCCAGTTAGCTTCCTTACTTCTAATAATATTTCCATTATAACAATATCATCACAAAAAAAAATGAAATCGAAACTTCTCGCCTCAAAGTCTCTCGTTATTGTGTACAGAAAAACAAAGAAATATATATGTAAGTCATAAAAAAAGCTAGAAAGAACTATTCCAAGTAATTATGTATATTCGTGTTTACTCTCATTACTGGTAGCGTTGAAAGCTTCTTATGAGCTTATATGACGATAATAATCTTAAAACAAAATTAGGAAAAAGAAAAAATTGCTCCCCAAATGCCTGCATATACGCACACACACAATTATTTTGGTTAAAAAGAAGAAAATTTCCAAGAACAATGAAAACTATTTTGATGATCTGACTAAACTGACGAGATATGTACGCATCGATGAAAGGGGAAGAATCGGAAAAAAGTTTTTTTAAAGAAAATCCGGAGTGGAATCGGAGAATGATGAAGGAACAAAAAGGCGACAAAATTGTTCTTTTTATATTCATTCTTAAGCTCTATATAGAGTGTGTAGATGTGATCACATATTAAAGGAAATAGAAAATAGAAAATAGAAAATTTAAATATCACAAAAGGATGAAAATTTCCTTTCATTCAATGTTTACGAAATCATGAGGCATAGCAATTTGTGAATCTTGTGTCTACAAATTCTCGTTTTACTTTCCGATAGACATTGGTTGAAAAGCAAGAAAATTGATAAGCAAAAGAATGAGGAAAAGAATCTATTGCTGCCACTAAAAATCTAATCATTTGTTGGCTCTTTTCTTATTCTTTTATTCTGTCACTTCCTTCTTCATTTAAGATTGGTCAAAGGGGGTTAAAGATTTTTTGATTGTGCAATATTTTTGTGGCTGATGCTGAATTTATTTATAGATTGGGCAATTCTCGTGTTCAGATCGAACTATAAACTTTATATCACAAGCTGTAGCTTGATACTTATTGAAACAATGTCTAGTCAACCCAATAAAGAGTTCTCTAATCTAATTCCATTGATATTTAAAAGAACTTTAACATTCAGCTCTTGATGTCGACAATGAAAATGAAATCATTAAAATTCGATGTTCTAAACTGAAAAGTTCAGTCGACAAAACATTCAGGAAGGAATTTAAGATTCTAGAATTTTCCACAAAAAGAATTTCCCTTAAATAGACAACAAAAGGAAGAGAACGAATTGTGAAATGAAAGGGAAAACAAGCAATAAGCAATAAGAATGAGAAATTCATTATCCTTTTTTTTTTGCTGAAGAGCTTAGAAGAAAGGAAGTTGAATTTAATGCTCAGCAAATGATGTGTTGGTATCAAAATGTCACAAAAACTTCCATTCACATGACATTTTTTGCTCCAAAGTACACAAAATTTCTTCGTCTATAATCTGACATTCTCACTTCAAGATCTTTCTGGTATTATACCATTTAAAATCCACCTTATTAGTCTCAGAAGTGTGTCCATAATCATTGATTGTTCATCTTCTTTCAAGCCTATCTTCATCTTGCTTTTTAACACAGACTTCATGCTTGAATATCTGATTTTGTTTGGAGAGTAAATAAGTTTCAGTTCATTTAGATTCTTATTATCTATTCATTCATGCTATAGTTCTACTTTTTCATTCTGTGTTTTGTCTAGTTGAGGGTATAAACATAATAACAAAAATATGCATATAGTCTTCTTATTTTTATATGGAATAATTTGAATGGAATGAACTGAGAGAGATCTAACCATGCAGACATTTATGGCTTGAATATTCCTTTAACCTTTTTTTTCCTCATCACTTATATGATTCTCTTCTTCCTTTTTCTATTGCAGAGTATAATAAGAAACAGCAAAAATAAGAGGCAACAAAAAAAGGAAAGTTTAGCAACTTCTTCTCCTTCTCTTCTCTTCTACTTCCTTCAGCTTCTAGTACAGCGAGGATGCTTGTGATAAAATGTAGTTTTGTGGTTATATTAATTCTAAGCAACTATAATCGTCATGTTGTAGCGGATGATATTAATACTCAAGGACCGAGACTTGTAGCTGAGGGTGACGATGCTCTTTTGACATGTGTCATAATGGGCGCATATCGTAACGACACTGTAATTTGGCGTAAGGGTCCAACAAAGATTCTTTCGGCTGGTCTAAATCGTGTTACGAATGATAAAAGAATTAGTATATTGCATGATGATGCCCAGAAAGATGCCAATAGAGCACAGACAGACGGTGACGTGTGGGTTTTATTAATAAAGAATGTTAAGCCAGAAGATAGTGATGTATATGTATGTGAAGTGAATAGTGAACCGCCATTAAAGAGTTTTCATCCTTTACGTATAAAATCAAAGGATGGAACATTTCATGTAAATCCATCGATAACGGATGAAAAAGATCCGTCAGACTTATCACCGCCAAACATCGATAGCGACAGTGAATATCATAATTTTCCACCATCCGTAACACACGACTATACAGAATGCTGTGAGAGCTTTAATGTCAGCACAAAATGTTTAGGATTTTGTTCAATTCACAATATTTTGGATGGCACTACAGGCATTGAGCCAGAAGCGTGTGAAAATGATTTCACAAATATCATTAAGTGCATGGCTGACGGCAGAAATCATATGCCGTGCTGTGAGAAGAAAAAGATACCCGATTTGTGTCAAGATATGTGTAGAGGTGAATACACTCCATTTACCGATTTGTTGAGATCACGAATTTCGTGTGCTGCACACACAATACCTGGCTTAGAATGTATTTTGGAAGGAGTTCAAAAAATTCCAAGCGCACCAAAAGCTGTTTTTGTTGAGCCGATTAATGAAAAGTCCCTACAAATCTCATGGTTGCAGCCAGAACATTTGGCAGACACCGTGAAAAACTATAAAATAAATCTCACAATTTTGCAATCATTTGATGAAGACTATTTGGCTAATAATACGGCATCAACAATCAGTGTCACCGTTCCAGCAGAATTGAATACGACAACAATCAACAATTTACAGCCATTTACGATGTATTCAGTCTTCGTAACGAGCGAAAATGAATATGGCTCGAGCTTACCGAGTACACGTAAGCGTGCATTAACATTGAAAAATGATATGGTTAATGGAGGAAATAGTATTGCTGTCATACCAAAATTACCAGACGTCAGAGGATGTTGTATGTCGCAAGGCATCACACACCGTTTGTGTCTCGATAAACTGTGTGATCCTGTCAACGCAGACTTTACTGAAGTTCCCGATTTAATGGTTTGTGCTCCCTGGGCAAATATTACATTCTCGTGTTTAGCAAATAACATCGATCATACGCCATGCTGCAAATCTCGTGGGATGCCCGAAGTTTGTTTACCGTTTTGTGATGGAACCGTTAAAACAATCAACTTTAACTCATTTAAGTAATTAATTATTTAACTTTCTCATTATTTTAATATTAATAGACATTTCATGTTTACTTTTCATTATGCCTCACTCCCGAAATTAACTCAACATAATGCTTCATCTAATGATGAATTGTTGCTATTATACTCAACTACTGTATTGTTTAACGACGACAGGTGCCTTCAATATATGTCAGACTATAGTAGCTGTTTACTACAAGGGTATGGAGTTTTACCGTCAGCACCAACGAAATTAAAGGCGTCACTTATATCGAGTAATTATGCAATATTAGAATGGAAACATCCAAAAGTTCTATCCGATACTGTCAGAACGTATCACTTAAATTTGAGAAAACTTGGAAGTGGAGATGAATATACAGTCACAGAGAAGGTATGCCAACATTCTGACATATTTCTTAAAATTTTTTTTCTGCATAATGGAACTACCTTGTAATTTTTCTTAATTAATTTATCACAAAATAGAGCATCCCGCCAATTATCTTGGACAATTTAGATGCAAATTCAATTTATGAAGCGTTCATTGTCGCAGTGAATGCTCATGGCAAATCGTATCCATCACCTCGTCTTATATTCCAAACAAAGCCATTAATTGAAGCAGATCCAGTGACACCAACTTATAACATGACGACATGTTGCAAGTACTCTGGGTACGTGTTCAATTTTGAAGTAGTTATTATTGTTATTTGGATGAAAGACGTCCGGATCTAGTATGTGGTGTGATGTTACATAGAAAATGTATATTCTGGAATTAGATTATGATCATCTACAATTTAATTATTTTTTTGTTCTTTTTTCTTCTACTTCCATATTGCACATTGACTTATATATAATTTAGACTATTGCCACAATGCATGTCACTATGTTCGTATGACATACGTATGTCAGATCTCCAAACATTAGGAAGTGCATGTATTGCGTCAATAGGAGCTGTGGTGAGATGTGCTGCTGGCGGCAGAGATCATTCACAATGTTGCTCACGTCGTGGTGTATCAAATAAATGTTTACCAATTTGTAAAGGTGTTTTGTCACATCCAACTGAATGCATTTCATATGCTGGTAATATAATACAATGCCTGGAAGAAGGAACGGGTAATATACCAGGACCTGTTGAGAATTTACAAGCAACTAGTGTCACAAACAATAGCATTTCATTAAGCTGGTCTGCCTTCCACAATGACACAGATAATTCACAATATCAGGCTGATTTGAAAGACTATCTAGTACAATATGGAAAAGTTGATAACATGACAATGTACGAGACAGTAATTAAGTTAGATAATGAAATTGCCACAACAGATACTGAAATTGAATTAACTAATTTAGAGGCAAAAACTCTCTATCGAATTATGGTGATTGCACGTGGAACATATGGTAACTCATTACCATCATCAATGTTGTTGATAAACACTTCAACCACGGAAAATGATGCAATTATATATGGTGCACCATCGCCTCCTCATACCCTCTCCGTATCATCTCATGGTAAATTGTCATTAAATGAAACACAAAATTTTATATTGAGCATTAACTTTTTTCGATAGCTGCAACATATATCACTGTTAATTGGCAGCCACCAGAATTCGCTCATCCACATGAAAAAATTTCATATCGTCTATTTCATCGCAGTGGAAATAACGTGACAATAGCCGACACAAAAATGCTTTGGGCGAGATTAAATCGATTAGCACCAAATTCGCAACATATCTTCTATATTGTAGCAATTGGCTCGAAAGGAACATCATTACCCTCAGAGACTTTAGTCAGTTGGACAGATCCAGCACTGCCGGCAGTTGTTGATGTAAGAATATAATTTAATATCTTCTTTATTTATTTCTCTCATATTCTCTCTCTTAATTTATTAAATTATCTTAAACATATAAAAAAATTAGCCACCGACTGTTCACCCAAGTGATTTTGTATCGGAAGGAAGTAGCATGACAATTTTATGTTTAGCTTTGGGCAATCCGGTCCCACATGTGAAATTATACGTTGGTGGGCATCTTGTTAGAGAAGAAACGACTCGTCATCTGGTTACAACAGTTCATAACATAAGTGTAGATATGGAACACGTTAGCTGCTATGCTGATAATGGTAAGACCATGAAAAAGGCAGCTTTATTTAGTCATTTACATTATTTCCTCTAATTTATGCAATTAGGCTATGGTGTGCCAATGCAAACCTCGAAGAAAATTAGCATAAATTTTGCCCCAAAAATACAAGCAGCTGGAATAACTGTTGCATCACTTGGCGATAATGTCGAACTAAAATGCTCGATAAAATCTAAACCAATACCAAAGACAATGTTTTGGCGAGATCATGATGGTCGCATTCCAGTCATACAGTCAGGAAATTATGATATGACAGTGATGAATGACATCCATGATCCGAGCGCTTATGTGATGGTTTTGAGAATCATGAAATTGACAAATGAAGATGTTGGCGATTATTTTTGTCATGCAGAAAATGCTCTCGGTAGTGTTACTCGTCCCGTCTCCGTTCGAATTCGTAATAGTGCTCCGATAACAAATATCTCCGAGTGTTGTGCTATACAAAATGTTTCGAGTGCGTGTTTAGATGCTTGTTCATTCTATCTTGACATTGAGGCAATTATTGACCGTGCTGAATGTATTGCGGACTTTGATAAACTCATGAAATGTGCTTCAGATGGTTCCGATCATCGTGGATGTTGTGCACAAAAAGATGTACCGCGTAAATGTTTAAATTGGTGTCGTGGTGAGCCTGTCATCAGCGGTGCAGCTGCATGTGCTATTCAATACACGAAAATAATTGTTGGATGTTTCCAAGAAAATCATAATAGACTTCCTGGACCGCCACAAAATGTCAATTTACAAAAGATTTTGGGTGATGAAGTTACAGTTTCATGGGAACCGCCAGTTAAGAACCCCACAGTCGTTGAAGGATATCGAGTATTTTGGCACAGTTCCGATTATAATAACATTAACAATGACAATATTACAAGTATAGCTTTTAGTGGCTTAGGAACGAGTCGATTAGATGCAAAGGAGACGAGCATTACTATCTCCGGTTTGCAGCACAATGTACATTATGAACTTGTCGTAAAGGCAGGAAATCATTATGGTTAGTATGATTTATTGATTCAATTCCAATGTAAGCACTTAATAATATTTTTATTGAATAGGTGCCAGTGTTCTTTCGGAGCCGCTGAGATTTACTCTCGATGATCACATTTCGTCACACTCAACGGGCCATGGAAGTGTCATGGGTGGAATATTTGCTGGTTTATTAGCTATTATAGCTCTTGTTGTAGTTGCTGCCTTCTTATTTATAAAATCGAAAAAGCTCAAGAATAAAAATGCAAATGGTGGCGTTGCCTTTGAGAATCCAAGTTACTTGAGAGAAACAAATGTCGAACAAGTTCATGTAAGTCTTGATTATATCCCTTGACTGTAACAACCATAAAACTTTCTTAATCTCATTAAAACTAGATTCAAACTATTTCAACAAATCGGCAAGAGCCAACAAGTGTGTCAAATAATTCAGCACCAGTGATTGCCACGAGTAGCATACCAACAGCAAGTGAAGTCAATCCAACACTCTACGAGGAATATGTGAAATTAGGAAAGGAAAAAGGATTTAAAAAATTAGTCTCATGAGAGACGAATGTAAATAAAAATACGATTTGTTGATAGTATTTTATAAGACATGCAGAGAAGGCAACAGAAGAAGATAATTAAGTTCTTTTTGTATATAATGAATAGAATGATTTTTTTAAACGAGAAAAGTATTTAGTGCCGTACAGATGAAAAAAAAAATAAAAATTTAAAAATGAATGAGAATTGTAAAAAAAATAATAAATTTGTTGAATGAGAACAAAACCCCGTGTTAATAAATAAATAAATGAAGATGAAGCATAATTAACTCCACAAAAACCATACATAGAGTATAAAATAATAACGAAATCCCATGAATAAGGCAGAGTCTAGTCAAAAAATAAGTGGACATTAAACATACAAAATAAAAGTACATACTTATCCAAAAAAAAAAAACAATACAATACAAAAATGAATGATACTCTTCCTTAATACAGGCTCAAAAAAATGTGACTAAATGTAAAAAAATCGATCAATAAAAAAAGATGATGAACATTTTATGAATCTCTTAGAAACCAAAAAAATATTTTTATGCTACTTCCTTGTTTATAATTGCTAGATTTTTCAGGTTTTTGGAATTTTATGTTTTTTTGGACTCATTCGGATGTTATGGGACACTCTTTCAAAACTTAGTAAACATTTTCCATACACAATTGGTGATTGGTAGCAAGCAGGTGTCTAAAATAACCACGTTTTGTGTGACGTAACCTTCGAATAACTCCCAATAATTTAAATCTTACTTAATTACAGATTCTTCAACAGCATTCTTCAATAGCTAATCAGTACTTAAATCAGCTGCTTATTCATACTCAGACTATATGGCCTACGCATTTTCAAGGTCAAACAAAGCGATTTCCTTTACAGTCACAAAAATATAAACAAAAACGACCTTGAAATCAGTTCTGACTTCGTCATTTGATATGATTTAACATCTACACACAACGACAAGATCTGTATAAAGCAGCACAACTGCTTGTTGAAAGATTTTTAGATTTCCATTCAGAAAAAAATGAAAGGAATGCTGCTCAGGATGACATAATGACATTAAGTTTGCATTGCAAACATTGTTCAACATCAAGTGCTCATACACTTAATTTAATGGATCATCTAAATACAGCAGACATCCATTCATCATGCAAATATAAGAACTGAACTTTTTAGTGGTTCAGAGATTGTTTACACTTCAAAAAATCTCGTGATATACATTTTATAATTATTTGACAATCAACAATTCTTTTTAATTATCAGTATGCAAATCAGACATGATTTTTTAAATGGTTGAGTTGAAAAAAATTAAATCAGTTCCAGTTTTCATAAAAAAAATATTGTTCTGTGTTAATTAATGAACGATGGTTTAATTAAATGGGTTACGATTTTCAGTTCCACTTTGTTGCACTATTTTGAATTGCCTTATTTGTTAAGAATGTCAAGGTGCATTGTGTTCTGTGTCTTGCAAATATTTTTAAAAACACCTACAATTTTTTTAATTACAATGTTCTTAAGTTCTGTAGAATTTATCTGATTTTTTTTGCATGAAATTTTGTTCTATTTTATTGGGGATTGTGCATAATTGAGAGTCTTTCGTAAATTCAATGATTGTCTCCCTTCTCTCATCTTAATCTAATCTGCCACAAAATCTCAAGAGATTTTTTTTAAAAGCTTCAAATATTTAATGCTGCTCTCCATATAGTACGTCATTACTGAACGTCTCCAATCATAAATTTTCATTTTCATCCTACTCATAAATTTAACAATAAAGTCAATGAACACATTAGACAACACAAAATGATCTCAAACTCCCCTAACCTCAAAACAATAACGTATTTCATATTTTCAAGAATTGGACAACAATCCCAGTGACTTCTAAGGGAACGCAACGCTGAAAAAACATCAAAGTTTATGTTCGCAATTGACGAAAACTTTCTTAGGTAGTATCCCTGAATTATAATTCGTAAAGAGCAGTGGAATCTAATTTTCATTTGTTTTAATGGAATTTGACTCAATTTTGGGACAAATCTATTTAAATCGTGTGCATAAGTCGTTGAAACATACACAATGATTGGAATTTAATGACAAAATGATGCACAACAGTTGTTTTGTGAAAACTTCAATTAGAGAAACAATATTTACCTGATTTATGATCATTTGATAGTAGTAGTGTATGTGTGTACGTTTTCAAAAAAATAAAAAAAATAATTGATAGTGCAGTAAAAGAAGAAAAACAGAGAAAAAAGTTTAGAAAATTTAAGAAAACTTGAATAAAATTTTAAAGAATCTTCAAATGAATTGATTTTTATTTTAAAAATTAAAGTAGAAATGGATGTCAATTTATTACAAGACATGAAGCCACCAGGGGTTTCTTCGCGAATGGATGTTTGTTCTAATAATGTATTGATGAATGAAGAAATTACTGTTAAGGAAGAAAATAATAAAAAGAAATGTACAACAACAAATGCAGCTAATGCGAGAATTATAACTGAAATCTCTTCTTTACATGATAATGATAGTGATCTATTGGCAAGTCTCCCAAAAGCTGAAGTTAAATTGAAGAAATTAGATGAAACCAAATTACTTATGGACAATAATGAGAATTCTCTAAGTGTCGATACGCTCATTGAAATTTTATCGTCGTCAAACAGCGATTCGAAGCTACCGATACTTGATAATATTAAAAGTGAACTATGTGAAGAAAATGGAAGTGAAAATATCATTGTGCCACCACTTTCGTCCGCTCCATCCACATTAAGTTCTCCTTCGTCTTCGTCCTCATCGAAAGCTGGTTTTAGTAGTCCAAATACAAGTGAAACAGTTCCGTCATGTAAATCTGGTCCATCACCCAAACCCTATATTTCACCCAAAAAATTTCCTAGTCCTTATTCAAATGGTGGTAAGCCAATGATGGCTGATTTAAATAAAAAGATGAAGCAAGTATCGAGAAGACGATCGAAACCAAAAGCTGTGTATCAAAGTCAAATTAGTGATAATGCAGTTGGCATAAAATTGTGTATTAAAAAATCAATTAATACTTTTAAAGCGGTGCCATCGCCAAACAGTAAATCACCGTCACCAAGAAAACGATCGCGAAAATCAAAATCACAAACGTCAAAAGGAAAGGAAAAAGGATGTGAGAGTGATAGTGATGATTCTTATGTGAAAAGAAGAAAGAAACCATCAACAATGAATAACAATAATAGTAATAAAAATTCATTTGAGGAGCCCATTGAGCAGTCGGGATGGGGAAAATTAATTCCAACAGAAGTACTTTCTGAGGTATGTTGAAAACTACTTCTTCTTCCTTTTTTTTTAATCCCTCCGTTCAAAATTTCATTATGACTTTCTCTATTTTAGATTTTCAAAATGGCAATTAAAGAAGAAGGAGCTATTCCAACAGCATGTCGATTAACCAGAGTTTGCTCGCTTTGGCGAGAAGTGTCATTAGATACGAAACTTTGGCGTAGTGTAGATTTAAGTACATACTTTAAGGAGAAGAATCGCACAGAACTGAGATTAAAATGGTTCATTGAGAATCGTTTGATTGATACGGAAGAACTGAATATAAGTTTTTGGAAAGTGACAAATACTCTCGTTGTGCTCATGAAATTGAAAGAAAGTTGCTCTGGCCTCATAAGTATAGCGCTGAATGGATGGAGGGCATTATCATCTGATGATCTTAATTATCTCACAGAAAATTTCCCTAAATTAGCAAGATTAGACTTAAGTTCTATAAATACGGAAATGAATACCAGTAAAACTGCTGTGGGCCTTCAATCACTCGTCAACGCAATAGAAAAAATGAAAGAACGTCTTACGCATTTAAATTTAGCTGATAATCGACTGTCTGGAGTCCCACAAATAACGCAAGCACTAACGACCTTTAGTCCGAACTTAATCTTACTTGATTTATCAAATGTTAAAACAGTAGCTGTATCACACGGTATGTTGTATGTTGAAAAACTCCAAGAAGGATGTCAGAAATTGAAAATTCTTCGAATCGCCAATTCACATATACAATTATCAAATGCAAGTCTCCAGGAACAGATGGCGTAAGACAATTCAATCAAAAATCCATTAATATCAATATTCATCTTTCCAACTTTCATTTTAGATCGCCTGGATTTCCAGATCTCGAAGAATTATCTGTTGCATCACTAATGGATGAATCTCGATTAATGAGTGACGAAGCTCTTCAGCGAATATTAAAATCCAGCACAAAATTAAAATTATTAGACGTAAGGGGATGTGCGAGACTAACACACGATAGTTTAATTCGAATACCTGCGTGGGATTTAAAGCATCTCTTTCTATCTGGTTGTTCTGTAACGAGAGATGTTGGGTAAGATTTGTTGCTCTTCTATAAAATATTGAATTACTCAATTATTATTATTCTATAGATCTGGCCTTGAACTTATAGCAAGTAAATGGGCTCACAGTTTAATTGAATTTGACCTCGCATGGGCAACAGTTCAAATACCACTTGATAATGCTTTACGTGCATTAGCTGATAAACGAGATGAAAGTCCTTTGAAGTAAGTTTCTAAGCTTTATTCTACATTATTTTGGAACTAATGTCTTCATCTCGTTGAAATAGCCATTTAAACCTTTGTGGATCAGCAGTGTCAGTGGAAGCTGTAAAAGAAATCTTGGATCATTGTAAAAATCTCAATTCTATAAATCTCTCATCATGTCGTGGTCTGCCGCGTGGAATAAAGCGACTTCTTCAAGGCTCTGTTGAGCTTAGTGAGTTGAGAGAAAATTTAAAAAATGAAAACTAAAATGAAAAGTGAAAGGATATCATCTTTCGGCTCTTTAGAGACATGAAAGAATTGAAAAGTGAAAAAGTACAAAATACGATAAAAAAAAAGATATTATTTAGTGAAATAATGAAGAAAAAAAAATGGAAAGGAATAGTTTAAAAAATAAATTGAAAGATTTTTTTACACGTAAAAAAAAATGCAATTACAAGAACCAAGATTACATATAATTAAAAAGAAACAATATACATCAATCTATAGGAACCACCCCCATTTTTATCGATGATTGGAAGTTAAAGTGTGAAAATAGTTCTTCGTCTGTTTTCTTTCTGTGAAATGTTAATAATCAAAATAATAATAATAAAGCTAATACCCGTATATAATTTGGGAATAAGATACAGTATGTGATATCAGTTTGTGGATTTTGCGGTGTCAATTTGTAGATTATATAAAAAATTGAGCAAGTGAAAAATGTGGATCGATATTATCAGTAGGAAACTCTTTAGCTTTGTGGCTACCCGTATATCGATGAATGACTTGGTCTACAAATTGGAAGCCACAAGACTACTTTAAATTCTAAACTGAATGTTATTCCCAACTTATTATCGAGTATAAAATTTCATTCCAAGTTCTTATTGTAAAATACAGAGACATAATATTAAAGTGATGTCACTTGTTCTAGTTCCGTATATAAGCTACAAAAAAATTAAAATGTTATGAAAGTAAAACCTCAAAACCTCTCTTTTCGCTGTGCAATAGTAATGAAAAAAAAAAGTGTAGTTGAAATTTACTCCAAAGATGATGTTTACCTGTGACCTATCAAGCCAGAAATATTGTGACATCACTTTTTATGCTGATCAAAAAAAATAATATTGAATAATTTAGTGAAAATAGTCCGAAATTTTTGTATTCTGCATTTTTCTCCCCCTTTGATAAAAACATGAAGTATGAAGTAGAAAAATAACAAGATATATAGGCAGTAGAAAATAATTTTTGAGACACAAAAACACGATAAATGTGCCTACAAAATTAAAAATAAAAAATTTGTTGAAATTTTTTTTCAATATTGTTGAACGAAAAAAGTAACTTCCAACATTCACGTCTCTGTTTCAATTGTTTGTTCTTCTTTTATAGACTTTATTGTGCCCGAGTAGCTCACATTGGGATTGTTTATTGATTGATTTGTTTTTTATGGAACATTTAAGATTAATTGAGCATGAATTTTAGAGACAAAAGCATCAAACATCATTAAGTTTGAGTCTGATTCTTAAAAATAGATCCTGTTTAGTGCTAGACATGATTGTCTAATAAACTCAGCTCAGATTTTTTGAATTTTAATCCAAAAATGACTAAAATACCAATTCTCAAAAATGTGTCGCTCGGGTTTAAAGCTCAAAATCAAAATAATCAACAAAAAATCAGCAAACCATAAAACAGTAATTCATGAACTGCTCGGTTCCGTATAAAAATGCTTTTTTCACTATTATTTTTATTATTATTTATATTATTACTTCTTTTCATCTTGCATATACACAAGCAAGCAAACAAACAAGAAAACAAAAAAAAAATAATATAAAAACATGCATAAACTTATGTATAAGTCGTGCGGTACTAATGTTGATGAAGAGAAAAATTTAATTTTAAACAAATTTCTTTAAGAAATTGAAATTAAAATACGTATTAAAAGTTCACTTCCATGAATCGTATGGAAGTCGATGTATCACGTGAAAGATTAAGAGGAACTTTATTTAATAAATTATACAATAAAGAATCTAGCGATAAGTTTAGTTAACATAAATTCGTAGATGAAATAAAATCTATTTTATAAGCATCAAAAACAAATGAAAAGAAAATATTAAAATTAAGTCTATCCATCATCATTCGCCTTTAACATTTCCCCTTATCGTGTTGTCGTCATCGTCCTTTCTTCTTTTTAAGGCACAAGTTATATGAAAAACAATTCTTTATGATCTTTTTTTTTATTTTGCAATATTATTGAATAGTTTTTATGACAAGCTGAATGAGCATAAGTTAAAAATTAAGAAATCAAGTATTTAAGATTGAAAAAAAAAGTTTAAAAAGGATGATGAAAGTATTTATATTAAAAAAGATGAATTTGTTTATTATTTCCGTTGCTTGATATCTAATTTAAAATTACTTCCAAAAGAATAAATGGAAAATTAAAATTAGTTCTGAATGTATCTCAATCGAATGTGATGATTGATATGATCAAGGCGTGGAAACTATCCCATTTATCACATATATCCCAAAAATATTCAAAATAATCCCTGAGCCTGTATGCATTAGAATTGAGTTATCCCATCATATCCTGAAATAACACGTCCAATACACTAAGGATACGTTGGGATATCTTTATCATCGTGCATAATTGCTCAGGAATTTTTTGAATATTTTTGGGATATGTGGGATAAATATGATATTTGGGATAGTTTCCACGTCTTCTATATTATTATTTTAGTTATCATATTTATGCATATGAAAGATTGGATAATTTATAATCATTGATTCGATAATCATTTAACGTCTTGACGTGTGAATTTCATAATTTTACGGATGTTTTAAGTTATTTGGATGAAATGAGTGCAACAGGATCTTGCAATTCAATCTGAAGGTTGAGTATTTGATAACTTATAAATTATTTTATTTTTAAAAATTTGAAAAGGATTTCCTAGAATTTTTCATTTTTGAACAAATGTCGCGAATCTAAAGACTTAAGTGAATATAAAACGCAATCTAACACTGAAAAATAAGTCAAAGATTATCTTAAACTTCCTCAATTTGCTTCCCATTGATATATTCAAAACATCGATTTTATAATTCCATTTTTGCCAAAAAAAACCGCATATATTATCAAATTCCGATTAAATCACTCAAATTATATGAATACAAAACATCACACTTGATGATTACAAATCATTCATCTTTGAAGAAAGCGACAAAACAGGAGGAATTCGAAAGCCTGTTGTTAAATAATTGTAAAATATTTTAAGCAAGACGAAAGCTTTTAATCTACGTAAATAGATTCGCATATTGGACATGTGAAATTTATAGTTTTCAGATGTCACTATAACAACTAGACATCACTCATACCTTTTGTGAAATTTGCGTCTTGTTTGATTATCTTACAGGTGTTTATGATGTAAAGATTGAAACTTTTGATTGAAAATTATCCAATCCATTAAATTTCTGATTTTTTCGGAGATTCAAGACACGGAATTTTTGTGAGATAGCTTGTGAGTAATAGTCGTAGTAATACATTATAAAATAGATTTCTAATCTCAAATTATCAAATATAAGGCAGTTAAGAGTAATAAAGATTTTAATTCCATTAAATTTTGTTTTTTTATGAAAAACTAGTAGTTGAGCTATCGATAAGTTTCTTGATCTTAAGGTTACTTGTTCTGAGCCATCATAACTTAGATCCAAAATTCAACATTTAAACCACAGTTCGACTGTAACAGCAAATCAAGAGAAATTCACAAAAATTCCCGTGACTTGAATATGCAAATCAATTTGTTGAGCTATATTCTTGACCGATTAACATATTAAGTGTTTTATAATGAAATTAATTGTTATAATTTTTTTTAAGAAGAAAAACATTTTTTGCATACCTAATAATTTGAGACAAGAAAAGAAAAACAAACAAAAAAGTTTTATTAATTTTGAATAAAATTTTAATTAACATGAATAATAAAAAAAAGACACTTGAAGTTTTATTTCCTTAAAAAATTAACATTTTATTTTGCATTTAATTTAATTAATTTGTAATTTAAATTTCACACAAAATCAGCAATTGCATTAATGTGGAACATATTTAACAGTACCGAATAGATGACACACTTCACATTCTCTTTTTCTTTGTTACATTTACAAAATATAATCAGTATATGACCTAACGGAAAAAAATACAGTATGGACAGCAGAAGAGATAAAAAAAAAGTTTCTAGGATAAACTCCTTTGTGGCACAAAAAAGAAAAAGTTGAATTTTAGTTCAAGTTACCAAAAAAAAAAACTACTTTTTAGTGCTTGTGTCATTTCAGGCTTATTTTTCATTATATTAAATTCACAAATGCGAAATAAAGAGGACCTTAATAAATTAATAAAAAAAAGTAAGTACGATGAATAACATTTCAGTGGTGTAGCTGTAAAATATTTTATCACTTTATCGTGATTTCTATTTTATAAAATTTTCTATATTTTTTTGTTCATCTAACTTCTAAACTGATTCCTAAAATATATTATTATTGTCATTACTTTCAATTTAAAAAGTGAAAATTTAAAAATAATGAATAATGAAATCAAGCGTTGCATGGTCATCGCTTATGCGAATTTAAATGCCTTTAGATTCGAAGATTTGGGTTTGTGTAACGGACGTATTTTAGAAGAGCATCATTTTCTTCGCAAACCCATGGCTGTGGAATGAATAAAATAAAAATAGAAGAGAAACTCAAATTAGTATCGTATTAAATTTAATAAATGGTAAATTATGCTTACCTTAACATGATGGCATGCTGAATAGGAAAGAAAAATGTGCAAAAATTAATATTCAGTGTCTTTTCTATTAATTCAAATATTTCGATACTTACCAACATCGTGCCAGTGAACACCATCGTTATAGAAGTTATTCAAGATAGCCAAGCAATTTTCAGGTGCACCTCCTTGTTGAAGTTCTCTGTTGTCTGGTTGTGGTTGACCAATTCCACCATTTTCACTCCAATCATTTTGACGACGATCTGTTGTTGGTGCCAATTTTTGGAGTTCTGCTGTCCAGAACCATCCATTGATTGATGTTGGTTGCAAATCAGCACGATCACATCCCTGGAAGTCACAGACACGACCCGATGTCCAAATGTATTTTTGCTGAAAGAGAAAATTTATTTTTTATAATAATAAATGTTGGTTTTTTTTTGGCAAGGCCATGTCTGGATGATTATGATTAATTTGCTTTTAACTTCCTAGCCAAAGGAAAACTTTTTTTTCGATTGCCCAATTGTGATTATTACATTATGTAGGAAGTATGCGTGATATTACATACGACTATGACTTCACCTCTTAAGTAATTCCAATCAGTTATTGAAAGAGAGATTTTTCATTCAAGTTAAGCCTAAAATCACGTCTTTTGTACTATTTATGGAGAAGCGCATTGCGAATTAAAAATTGAAGCTTTTCTTTCTTTAACACATGTTGAAAATTAAATCGTCTATTGTTTGGTGAAATTTTAATAATACACGACCAAAAGCAGCTTCTGGGGAAAACTCACAGATGTTCACAGATGATTATTTCATGCGCGTGCAATTTTTGACACTATAAAGTGGGTATCTAGGAGGGGTTTTGTGGGTCAAAGCACTCTCAATTGCAACATTATCCTACGCCCGTGACTGAACTCGATATCATTTTCCCTTCCGTGAATATAAAATTTCTTTGAGACCTTTTCATCTTTCGTTTCTATTGCCATAAATGCCAAACAATTAACACATGACACGGTGGGAAAATAGAAGACTTTACTACCGTTCAAATATTACATCTGAGATAAAATAATTAGAAGAGTTAATGCTGTAATTGTTTTCATTTATTTATTCTTCTTCCTCCTCTATCTCTCGTCTTGAGAGTCTGTCTTAACAGCATTCACAGTTGTAAATTAAAATATTTTATGAATGCTGAATGAAATCGAAAGTTTGTTTTTCATTCCATTCATTCACAAAACAGAAATTGCATAAATCTTGACTTTTTGATTTAATGACTATCTTTCTGTGCCTTTGCGAAATTTATTTGACATCTTGTAAATATATTTATGATAGTCAACGATATGCTAACGAGTGGGTTTGTTTTGTAGAAGAATAAGCTGTCAATAATTACGAAGATCAAGACCATAATGAGAGACAAAAGAGGCTGTTTAATTGATTGGTAAATAAGCCTCGAGTGACAGATTGTTATAAGGAAATCAATTGAAATTTTCAGACTTTTAAGTACATTAATTATATACTAGAATGAGTTCTTCTTCAAGTATGACATCTAGTGACTTTAAGAACTGTGATGTTTGGACAGCAAGCAAATCAACAAACAGGAAGCATTTAAAGAAGTTCAAAAGAAATTTTACGACCACTTGATAGTCTCCCATTTTGGATATAGCTCATAAAAATTTGCATTTAAATCACCAGCTTTCAAAAATGTTAAAAATGTCATCAATTATGCAAAAAAAAATTATCAGGAACTGATAACATTCTTACCTTTCTTATTTCAATGTTTTAACAACAGATCAAACAATTTGCATATCATAGCGGATGTATCCCCAGAAATTCAATAAAAAAAGCAAGTAGCTCGAAGTAATAATTCACCGAAAAACAAGTTGCTGCCTGATGTGATTGGCAAATAATAATGATAAATGCAAATATTAGTAGCAGTATGTAAATACGCATGAATGGGGATATTCAGCAATGACGTCTATTAGCATGGAACGAGAATTAGGGAGTTAAAAGCCATAAATATGCAAATATGAAGCTTGTGGAATTTATGTGAGAAGACATGACTTTTGAACGACTCCCAAACCAATTGATAATTCATGAATTAAAAATAAAGGAGAGTTGATATGACACGGGACTCAGAGAGTCTATAGGTGAAAGTTAATGCATGAATAAGTTGAGGAAATGACATGCACACAATATATATTTAAATTTAAATTTATGACGACTTATTGTATAATTTTTTTCTGTCTGAGCTGCGCCCAAAGTGCCAAAAGAAATGTCAATTGAGCATTCACATGTCAACTACACTCGACATAATTGTGTCTTATGAAAAAATTACAAAAATATATTTTTTATGACAGAAACGTGCGAAAAAAGAAGTTTCCAATTTTTCTTCTTTTTTATCGCACATTTTTTGAAAAACTTTTTATTATTGTTGCTGAATTTTTTTGTTTGTTTTGTTTGTGTACGGGCCTGTCTGATTTTAAATAAGGTGCTTAAATGCGTGACACAAATTCATAAAGGGGAGAAGATGGACAAAGAAAGGAAAGTCTCAATTAATAAGGTGATTTAAATTCTTATCGAATTCTATGGACTCGGTCATTGAACTTTATAGGAATTGGATGTAAGACTCACCTTTCCATCAACAATTCTTTGTTTAATCCATTCATTTTCGGGTGATGTTTCTACGGATACGGCATCCATACAACGTTGACGACAGAAGTTTCTTGCGCCTAGCCAGTCCTCTTCCTTTCCTATATTATCATTAAAATTTCAGTAAACAGACTCGATTTTTTGTCACTGTCACTTACCTTTTGTATTTTGATCCTTCCATGAGAACCAATATCCTTTACCATCGGGAGATCTTTCATGAATCACACGTTGTGCACAGAGAGCTGGTACAGGTGGTTCCAAAATTCTTCCATTTGGAAACTGTGCCAAACTCAATCCAACGATTGATGTCAAAACAATTAACACCTTCATATTTTTAAAAAATTTATTTTAATTTCACAAAATTGCACACTTATTGAATATTAATTAGACTTGAATCTCTTTCTCCTCTTCCTTACACTCTCTCACTATATTTTTTATTATTTAAATATGGTCACACGAATTAATTAATTTGCTTTGTTATCGCAATGAAAATTGAATATAAACTGACAAAATTGAAGTATAACACCCTTATATATAGAGAAGTTGAAATGTTACAACATCAACAGTATAGAGGCACCAGAGGTTTTGGTAGTCGACAACGATTCATGATCAGTGGAAACTGTTGAGAGGCAAGGGTCTCTCTTAGAGGGAGTCATAAAGAGAGTAAGAAGAGAGAGAATGAATTTTTCTGAAAAATATACGAATGGAGGGAGGGGGGAAGACGACAACAACAACAACAAAAGCATTAACATTGAGGCATCGACTGAAGATTGGGGAAAATTGAATTTAATAGCCTCAGCTTCAGGTAAGACTTAAAATACACATACGAAAAAAATAATGAAAGAAAAAGAAAGCAAATTTACAGTTTTCTCACGATCATCCCATTGTCAGTATGTATGCGATATGTGTGCTGCTTTTAATGATGACTGTTGTTTTTCTGTCTTTTGTGCGATTTTTTTAATTTTTTTCCTTGTGTTATTGATTAAACACTTTTTTTGGGTCTTTTATTCGCCCAATTGTCTTACCTCATAATTTTTGGCACCTTTTGATCGTAATATGTTACAGTAACTCAAAGCACGTTCGGGGACCATTAATAGCTATGCGATAATAAAGTGAAAACTGATTCACGTTTGTGACAAATTGAAGTCATTACTCATATCTGAATCTGAAATTTGCGTACAACAATAATTGCTCGTCGTGAGCATCAGTCAAACTAAATTTCTTTTTGTCATAGGTCATGATTATGCTTACAGCCATGTGTACAGACCGAAAAAAATTCATTCACAATGAAAGATGAGAAAATAAACAATTTTGAGGCTCAACTTTTGGCCTCTCTCAACTTGCATTTACGTCTGTTTGTTGAGTACGCTTTAAGGGTCCCACGAGGCATTATGCTGTGCCGGGTTATGATGCTTATTTTTAAATCTGTCTGAGACGAACTTTTGGAATCGTGGAATTTTATGAATGAAGTTGAATCATAAAGGGATTTCATTTTCTGTACGGATATAAATGCAATTTTGTGGGTCACTACCCTTCGCAAATGAGTATTGTGTACTCATGTGAATTTTATCTGGAAGTAATTACTTAAAAATGAGAATTGAATAGCTTTCGTGCAGAAAATTGACTGATTTATAATTTTGTTTTAGTAATTGTGTTTAAATATGCTTTAAATTACATAAATCCCTCGATTGTCAGCTACAGATTGTTGATTTAGCGATCTAGAGAGTTCCTTCATAACTTCTGTATGAATCTGCATCCAGCATAAGAACATGTTCAGCTTTATATTCTAATTGTATTGATCTGGATTCGTAATATTGATTTAAATGCTACTGCATGTCAAACAATGGACAGTATCTCGAGATGTCATAGTCACAGAATGGCCAGAGCCAATCAAAGGACCAATCATAGCCCTCAACAAAAATTAGTTCCTCCATTGCGAAATTTCGAACAAAAAAAATCCACAATCATCATTAACATTGCATCACATAGCCATTAAAGACAATTCAAGCCTACCAAACTACCTCTTTCCTCTTGAACTTGCTGGCGCTTATGCTACTGTTCATTTCATATACATTTCATTGGCATGGTAAAATATAGCTTCCATCCAAGCAATATTGTCAAGTTCAAGTTGTTCATTCATCTCTATCCAAATGTTTATGTTTGTGTCACTCGAGAGATTTCCGTTTTGTGACTCTATCGGCGATGCTCATCATCATAAACAAACGGCTAATGTTGGAAAGTTGTAAGCAAATACTATAACAAGGCAATTAATTAATTGACATCAAATTAAAGATTAGACGGGGTGTTATGTAATTAAAATATCACAGTACCGATGTTTGATTGACATGTTTATGCATTGGAAATGAATGTAAATAAAAGTAAAATTATTGAGGAAGTATTCTAGTCTGCTAACTGTATAACCTTCTCCTTTCTTATTTTGATCTCACATCGACGATCGAGTGTTGGCTGTAACTTTAGACATAAATTTCGTGACTTTTTAAGTGGCTTTTATTAGCACTAAGTGTGCTTTCAGTATGTATTCATATAAAGAGATAATAAACAAATCGATTATCATCATTACATTACAAAAGAGAAGATATATACGGACTTCACACTGTGCCTGTATACGAAAAAGAAGAAATTTATTTGCCGATGCCTGAACAGATGGAGAAAGTCGCGACACATTTTTTCTTTCTTTCTTTTCTGTTGTTTTTGTGCTCTCCTCGTGTCGTCATACTGTAAATTTGGGTTTTTTTTTTGGCAACATTCCTTATCAAATTATCAACATTCCGTTGGTGCTGGCTGCTATTGTTGAAATGTCTTAAGGCATCTTGATTCTGTTAACTTGTTGGTTTCTGAATAGAATATGTTTATTGAAATGTCATTCAGGTTTATGCACTGTGCGCTATCGGCAAAATGACCTTGTAGCTGTGTATTGAATTTTTTGTGTCTATATTTGCTCATTTGACACTCAAATGCTGATCGAGTTTGGTGACTTTTTTTTGTTGAAGTACGTCACATAATAGTAACAATAAAACATACGGGTTTAAAAAATTGGATGTACTTTTAAGGTTTAAAAATATTCTCTTACATAATTCCGATGGCTTAATTAAATGCATAAATATATAATATAAATGCATGGCGAGTGCTGGCGCGCTATGAATTTTAAAATGTTTATTTTGTTTCACGAAAAATAAAATGTTGACAACATGCTACTGCATTTTTATGCATGCATGCACATAACCATAATGTGCCACCAAAAATTTTAGTCAGCTTTGATTCAGCTGTGCACGCATTATATCTTTGGTTGTCAAGACAACATCCAGTCACTATCATCTACACTGAAAAAAAAAATCGATTTTAAAATTTTAAAAAAAAACATATTTTGGAACTGCGTGTAGTGCCTGTAAATGTGTGAATAATAAAAGGCGATCAAAATCAACAATAGGCAAATGTAATAAAAGAATGAAGGAGCAAATAGACATGCAGGAAGGAAGACGATATGAAAAGAATTTATGATGACGTCATAAAAGTGAATCTTCCATACACAAATATTTCCTTTCTTCCTTTTCTTTATGATGTCGTGCTGTTTGAATGTGGAAAAATATTATTAAAGTAACTGGAAGAGCAAAAAAAGTGAGCAAAGACATCAATTCTGAGTGAACGACAAGATGATTTGTTATGTTTGATATAAACATAAGAATGCATGCTCTATAAAAGTACCAAAGAACTTTGCTTCTTTTTCCAGATATTACACAGATAAAAAAAGGGAAAGAAAGAATTTCGTAAGAGAGCGGAGCTGATTTTTATGCTCTGACGCATGCGCTAGGACTTTATACACGAAAGGAATAAAATAGACGATTCGGGGGGTGTTCATAAATGATGTTTAGGTTTGTAAGGACGAATGAGATTTATGTTTTTTTCATGAACACGTTTGGCTTATGGAGATTCGAACCTTTGCTTAGAGCAGGACATCAAAGTAATTTTAAAATATTTTTTTGCATGAATTTATGGAATTTTGGACTTCCACGACCAGTGTCACACTGACGCAGCCCCCAATGAAGGGATAGAGGGAGTCAATGGATTTGAAAGCAACTGTGAATCTAGGGAGAAGCTAAAATGGGTTTAGAACCCTTTTCACTCGATTGAAAATCAACTTAAAAATGGAACATATTGCTTTTGACTTTTTCCAGTCTTGGTGACTTATAGATTGCCATAAATACAAGCAAATCATAAACATTTGCCCAAAAAAGTAAAGATTCCAAAAATCAAAACCAAAATTGATCCTAATTTATGAACAAATCCTATAACAAAGTTAGCAAGAAGAAGAATTATGAGCGCACCGAGAATTATATTTTTCTATATCAACAAGCACTACATAAAAACAGTATACACACATTTTCTTTACTATTCTGTTTGTTGAGGAGCTCAAATGCACCAAACAGCACGTCGAAAGAAGTAAGAGAGGGAAAATCAATTCGCATTACGAACGACGTCATCAATTTTTCCTTTTCCTTTTTTTTCCTTCGCTCTCTGCATACGACTTTTTCGCATAGATTTTTATTTTTCCGTTCTGTGCTGTGCTGTGCTTCAAAGTTAAAGCGAGAGGAGAGAAGAAAACACGACTTTATTTCGATCATTCATAAAAAAAATTAGGGTAGTTTTTCACGAAACAGCTTGTCGAAAAGAGAGAGATTCCATTTAGTCCCTTCCATTATTGTCGCGTGTGTGTATGTACTTTATTGCATTCCTTCCTATATTTTTTTAAATAAAAAGGATATATTTTATAAAAATCAGAATTTTTCACGGATAATAACGAAAAATGGATTAAATTGAGTAATGTTTGTGGAATTATGTAAGATGTAATGTGAAGCAGTGCTTGTGAAAAAGTGAAAAAGGACACTAGAAACACATTTTTTTCATCCTTAACTTGTGGGAGTTGTGCACTTTTTTTAAAGGAAAAATTAAGAAAATTTTCTACTAAGTTTAAGTGATAAGTCAGTGATTTATAGCCTTCTTTTTCGTATTAAGTAAAGAGTAAAAAACGGCAAAAGTGAGCATAAAAATGAAGGAAAAGGCAGAACCACCACCTCCTCCCAGGAGAAATTTGACTTCCATTTCAAACTCGACATCGTCGGAGGTATATTTGCGATTTCATTAATATTACATTAGTCTCTCTCACTGTGCTGTGTGGCATGTGGATGTATCTCACAGTGCCAAAAATGAAGTGTAAAATTTCACATGATTCTCATAAAATTTTAATTTTTTTTTCTTCAGAAAACTGCCATTACAACAACAACAACGCCGCCCGAGGCACCACAATCGAATGGGGTTGTTGTAGATGTCAGCATTAATAATAATAATAATTCTTCATCGACTGATAAAAGTCCTGACGCAAAGGGAGATAAGGATATGGCAACAACAACAAAATCACCAGATGAAACAAAAGTTTTGAAAGATAAAGAACAGTCAATCAATTCTATTGAGCCGAAGGAAAGAGTTTCAGGTATGATACATATACACAACTTATAGGAACGGAAATTTAACTTTTTTCCATTTCATTCGTTTCTCTCTGACTCACTCGTGGGGTCGTTCATAAGTGATGTCAAATTTTGGGGGCTCTGTTGCTATGTGACACTTCCATACATATTTTAAGAGTGCAAGGGGAGGTCTAAAAATCACAACATTTGACAGACTTAATTCATGAACGACTCCTCACTTGCTTGTCGATTTTCCACTTCACATACAATGTTGCGCACAAGCAAAAAAAGGAACAAAAAAAACTTTTTTAATCGCGAAAAAGTATGTGATGACTTTCCGATTATCGCACTATTGTGTGTCCCACTCTACTGTCGCCTCCCTCTCATTCATGCTCTCATATTTATTTTTTTGTTTTTATTTGTTTCTTGTTGTAGGCAATCAAAGTCACAGTCCATTAAAAGATAATGAAAATGCAATAGCGCGCAATAAAAATGATAATGAAAAATCTGATGATGCAACAGGAACGACATCAACTGGAGTAGATCAAGTGGATATAATTGATGGGAAATCGCCGACGACAAATGCAGCTGTTGAGAGTGAAAGCAGTAAAATTGAGAGATTAGAAAATGAGTTGAGGATTGCAAAGGAGCTCATACAGAGTCTCAAGGCTGAAAGGAAGAAGCTTCGTTCAGATAAGAATGATTTATTGCAACAAGTTAAGCATCTGTGTAGCTCATTACAGGAGAAGGAACAAGAACTGAGAAATTTCATACGAAAATTTGATCAACGTCTTCGTGATTCTGAGTCAACGACAGCAAAGTCATCTACAGACAATGAGCATGATCGATGGACATTAATGAAGCATGCACATGAAGAGGCGGAACGTTCTCTCGCCCTTGCTGCTCAATTGAATATCAAAGATATTCAACTTCAACGGATGGAACAACAATTGCTTGAAGCACGTCGTCAATTGTCAGGTTGCATATCAGAACAAGATCAAAATATCTCAATAATCTCACCCTCTGGTGCTATGGGTATGATGAATCATGGATGCGACGAGAATGAAGGAATCGCCCCAGGTAATTATCATCATGAACGTGGCTCATATAGTGCTGACTCTGGGGTACGTACTAGTGATCGAGAGAGTGCAGCAGGAGATTTAAATCTCAGCGATGGTGCATGCGATAATGATATATTGGCTATTGATTCCGACAGTATTTCATTAATATCCAGTCATCACAATATGAATCAATGTAAGTTTTATGGCCTTTTTTTTTTTGAAAACTTTCACAAATAATAAATTACGTCATTTTTTTACTGTACCTGCTTAACAGATGGAAAAGAATACATTAGTCCAAGTGTGTCGCCAATGAATACTTTGGCTATGGAACGGAATGATCAACAAATGATGTAGTAAGTGATGCATTTTTATGACCTTGTCCTAAAATTAATCACTTCCTTTTGTTCATTTCAGTTTTAATCGACAAGCTCAACAACAATTAGATATTCCAATGGATTTAGAGACATCAACTGCAATGTCACGACGATTTAAGAACAAACCATTCAATTCGCTAGTTGGACGCAGCAGTAGAGGAGGTGCTTGGGGAAGTATATCACGTGTCTTTGCTAGAACAAAGAATCGTAATAAGGCAGCTTCAATTCAATCGTGCGATGAATTCCAATGGAATCCAATTAGTGAAGAAAGTTATGCAGAAAAGATTAAGTTGTTGCGTGAGGCGTCAAATATGCCAATAGAATTATGGCGCTCCCCACAAATAGCTGCGTGGCTAGAGATTGGATTAGGCATGCCAAAGGACTGTATTAGGTTTTGTTCCGAGAATGTAAAGAGTGGAAAGGTACTGTTGGAATTAACGGATGCAGAATTGGAAAGTGGACTTGGTGCGACACATCCAATGCATCGAAAGAAATTGAGACTTGCTATTGAGGAGCAACGACGACCGGACATGATTCGATATCCTTTAATTGGACAATTGGGTCACTCGTAAGTGCAGCACAAACAATTTTTTTTGAGGATTTACAATTGTAATAATTACTTTTATGTGATTTAGGTGGGTCGCGCTGGAATGGCTTCACGAGCTGGGCTTATCACAATACTCAGAATCGTTTATGCATTCCCTAGTCGATGCTCGTATGCTCGACACATTATCAAAGAAAGAGCTTGAAAAATATTTGGGTGTTACTCGAAAGTTCCATCAAGCCAGCATCGTGCATGGCATTCATTTATTACGACTGATGAAATATGACCGTCAATCATTAGCTATGAGACGATTACAATCCGAGAGTGAAAATATTGATCCAATGTTGTGGACGAATCAACGATTTATCAGATGGGTGCGTTCGATCGATTTAGGAGAGTTTGCAGATAATTTGAGAAGTACGTAAAATATTTGGGGGATTGTTCATGAATGATGTCACAGAGGATGGGGGATGTAAAAGAGTTTTAAAAAAAGAATGTCTTGGAATTCTATTGATTGTCTTAAACAAATGATTAAAGACGCCATTTGTGAACGACTCCCGTTTTTGGGGGTGGAGAAATTAATTTATGGACGAGAATTTCTCAATCTTTACTTCTTTTTCGCACCATGTTCTTTCATAAATTAAAAACAATCTATATAGATAGCGGCGTTCACGGAGGACTGGTTGTGTTAGAGTCATCATTTACTGGTGAAACAATGGCTTCAGCTCTAGGCATATCACCATCAAAAAATATTGTTAGAAGACATTTAATTACCGAATTCGATTCACTCATCCTTCCTTCAAGGTATGTTTATCTACATCTTGTATGCCTCATTTTCGTACATGTACAATACTTACCATAATTTTGTTTACAGAAAAAACCTTTCGCAAGGCATTCGCGGTGGGGGTGGAGTAATTTCTTCTTATGATCGACATGGAAATGTAATAATGAAGCATTAATTGATATCAATCAGAATTAATTAAATTTTTTTTCTCTTTTCTTTTCTTTTTTTGCTCACTTCCAACTCACGAACTTTTTGCAGAATACATTATCGAAGGGATATTATGTAAATCCAAATGGGAAAGCATTTAAAGCCGGCTCACTTCAATCACCCACTCATTCGTACTCGAGTAGTGAAGGAGGCAATTATGCAATAATGGACAATAGGATTAAAATGGAAGCTCCAAATGATATTAGCAATCGTTACTCAGCACCATTAAATTACGATGAATCATCTTCGAATCGCAACAGTGTGACTGGCAGCGTTAATAATCGGAGATCAGCCCCTGAATTTCTAACCGATCACAACTCATAAGTTTACATGCAGTTACAATTATATCAAAGACAAAAAAACAAAAATAATAATCATACAAAACAATATTCATCCCCTCATTTCAATTGAAAAACAATTTCGTACATAACAATATCATCATTAAATGAATTATGGAACCAAAGAAAATCTATGTCTCTATTTGAAAAGTGTGAAAGAAATATTAATTAAATTTTGAAGAATAATTTATCGAAAAATAGTCCTAAATAAAAATTTTTAAATTAATTTAACAATACTCTCTTTTATTTTGCAACTAATGTGTGGATGCATGACAAAATCTATAAACATTGCGATAACCACGTGAGCGAAGATGAAAAATATGTTAAGAACCGTTAGAAATCATTTTTGAATTCAAATTTAACCAGGAACCGTTAGAAATTAGCTTTGAATTCAAATTTAACGCCAACTTCACGTTAAACAAAACGCACAGCTTCAAGAATATTTAAATTAAATCCTAAAGCTTATTCTAAGACTCTTAAAGATTAAAATTAAAGTACCTTGTAAGTTAACTTTAACAAAAACATAGCTGAGGAATTATCATGCATGCAAAAAAGTGCCCTTAGAAGCAAAACAAAGAAAAACGAACTTTTAAAATTCAAATCAAAGCTGAGCAGTAAAGCGCATTTCATACTAAACGTGTGCACAACCCTGAATCGTTCTTTTTCCTCGTATAATCTTCAAGTGAAAACGTGAGCATAAAAATTTTATTAATTTAATATGTTTAGACTGTAATTAATGAAGTGAAAATAGCATAAAGTTGTGTCCAACATGTCTGTTAATATAATTAAGGCAACATATTTATGTAAATACAGCGAAATTGGGAAAAAATTAAATAATTGTAGTTTAAAAAAATTATTTCCATCTAAAATTGTTTACTAAGTTTGCTTTCGCAATTAATGTAAGAATTAGATGTTGCACATGTTTAGAGACATGATGTTCATTATTAATCGATAAATGAAATAGTTAAATAACTGGAATTTCCGAGAAAACTTAATTAAAAACATTTTCACTTCATGCATTATAACCTATAAAATAATTATTGTTGATCTAATGATTAATTATCTTTCTAATTGTAGATGGGACGAGTGATTCGTGCTCAAAGAAAGGGTGCCGGTTCGGTATTCAAAGCAATTACCAAGAAGCGTAAGGGAGCACCAAAATTGCGTCCATTAGATTATGCTGAACGTTCTGGATATTTGAAGGGAGTAGTTAAAGTGAGTATAGCACATAAATAGAGTATTTTGAACACCCGGCCTTGGCTCTTTTCATTGCTTTCACGCCAATGATCAGAGAATGCAGCTAGGGTGAGAGTATTTATGGTTGGAAAATTAGCCTTCGGTAGATTGAACTGAAATATATTCTCAATTTGCCTCCAATTAATTTCCATACATTTTCTATTCTTCATCAACAACAAGTTTACTAATTGCTGTATATGCTTTATTTTAGGAAATTGTGCACGATCCAGGTCGTGGCGCTCCTCTTGCAGTTGTTCACTTCCGCGATCCATACCGTTATAAGCTTCGCAAGGAGTTGTTTATTGCTGTTGAAGGCATGTACACAGGACAATTTGTGTATTGTGGAAGAAAGGCACAATTGACAGTCGGTAATGTATTGCCACTTGGATTAATGCCTGAAGGAACCATCGTTTGTAATGTTGAAGAAAAGAGTGGAGATCGTGGTAAATTAGCACGTACATCTGGAAATTATGCATCAGTTATTGCCCATAATCCAGATACAAAGAGAACAAGAGTCAAGCTTCCATCAGGTGCAAAGAAAGTTTTGCCATCAAGTAATCGTGCTATGGTTGGAATCGTCGCTGGTGGTGGACGTATTGACAAACCAATTCTTAAAGCTGGACGTGCCTATCACAAATACAAGGCAAAGAGAAACTGCTGGCCAAAGGTTCGTGGTGTTGCTATGAATCCCGTTGAGCATCCTCATGGTGGTGGTAATCATCAACATATTGGTAAGGCTTCAACTGTCAAACGAGGAACTCCACCTGGTCGCAAAGTCGGTCTTATTGCTGCTAGACGTACCGGTAGAATTCGTGGTGGTAAGGGTGATGCAGACAAGAAAGAAAAGGAGAAGAAGTAAATTAAGTCGAGTTATTAAGTGCGATCTTATCATCTGTATTGTCGCTGTCTATTCCATCAAGAAGTTTTTATGATAAACTTACAACAATAAAATAAAATATTTGATGAAAACGAATTTGTTCTTTTTAAATTGATTTTAATGTTTTTTACAGGAACTTGGGAGTTATTTGAATGTTGTGTGAAAATCTGCTTGTTTTTGAATGGCTAGTTTGAATAAATGATGGCTTTTAAAGTAACGGTTTTCAAAAATTCGAAGTTTCATCTTTACGAGATTTTTGTCTTTGTAAAATTTTAAAATTTCAAAAAGCCGTTATTTTTTAAAATCTATTTCGCTCGTTATTTATCAATTTCATTTTGACAGTTAAATTTTGAACATATTATGACTGTTGTATTTTTACACGTCTTTTCTATATCTTTACATTTGCAATTTATTTCTATAAATAGATCGGCATCTTTTGTCATGTTTGCTCAATAGTTGAGCTACATCACTTAATCTGATTTTTTTTCTCGAACTAATTTGATTGTTTTGTTGGTGTGTCGTATATCCTCAAAATGCTCTCAGTTGTGTCGAAAGTCTCATTCAGGTGACATGTCGTGCTACAATATAAAAAATTTAATTTATTTGACCTTACTCAATCTTATTATCAATTATTATTCAAATGTCGATGCTACGTCTCATCGTCTGCATCAAAATGCATATCCTATAAAGTATAATATAAGAATTAAGGTTCATCCTGAAAAGAACATTGAATTATATGAAGCTCGAGTGAAAATACAAATTAAAATTCAAGAGCCGAGTGACAAGATCACATTACATTCTAAGGTTTTACAATCAATTACAAATATTACTGTACTTGATGTCGATTCCAAAATAGCGCATAATGCATCATATAAGTTTGAGAGTGATAAAGACTTCCTGATTGTGAATCTGCCTTATAAAATGAATAAAGATAGTGAAATAGTTTTGAAATTTTATTACAATTCTACTTTAAAGCGTATAGATTCGAATTCTATTGTAAAAAGAGGGTTTATGATAACTAGCTATAAAGAACCTGATGGAAGGAATGAAAGCATGATTTCTACTGGATTTTCACCATTTTATGCTCGACAATGCTTCCCATGCTTTGATGAGCCGTCATTTAAAGCTCTATTTAGATTAGAAATTGAGCATCATGAGCTTTACAATGCTGTTTCTAACATGCCAGTTGAGAGTCGAGTAAATATTAAAGGCAATGACAACTTTGTAAGAACAAGATTCGAAGTAACACCGAAAATGTCGACTTATCTAGTCGCCATCTTTGTATCAAAGCTTAAAGCCTATCCAGTAAAGAATTCTAGTGTGCCACAAACCGTGTATGCAAGGAGCTCGAAAACAAAAAATGAATACTTGAAATTCATGATTAATAATCTTGGGAAAATCTTGCAAACATTTGAAAACTTATTTCAAATGCCATTCTCACTTCCTAAATTGGACCATCTTGTAGTGCCCAATTATTATTCAGCTCTGGAAAATTGGGGAGCAATTGGATACTCGGAAAATTATTTAAATGATAAGTTTAGCCATAAATATTGGAATATCTCAGTTCTGTTCCATGAAATTGCAGTGAGTATTTAATGGACATTTTTAATTTGATTTGTCTGAGCTAAATGAGGTCGATTTCTCCTTTATTTATTAATTTTAATTTACTACTTTTACCAACTTTAGCACCATTACTTTGGAAACCTTGTGACTCCTAAATGGTGGTCATATACATGGTTAAAAGAAGGTTTTGCTGAGTTTTATGAATGTGAAGTGGAAGAGCTACTTTTCCCAAACTATAAGAATCAATTAGATTTTTCGGTATATTATAAACAAAATGATGCATTCGAAACAGATTCAGTTGAAGAAACAAAATCACTGAATTTTTATGAAGAGTCCCCAATTAAAGTGCTTGAAAAATTCGCTACATTTACATACCATAAAGGAGCAATGATTATACGAATGTTCAAACATGCCTTTGGCGCTGACACTTGGGAGAAAGGAATTAGATATTACCTACAAATCAATCAGCATAATTCAACAGAGCCTAAGGATTTACATGTTGCTATTCAAAAGGCTTATGATGAAGATAATCCAAAGAATAGCTTGGATATAAGTAAAGTAATGGATTTATGGGAAAATCGAAATGGATTTCCAAATATCTCTGTTAGTTTAGTCAATGGGAATTTAAGATTAACTCAAGAAAATGATTTTCATCCTGATCTGATTTATCAAGTTCCAATAACTTACTCAACATCCAGTGACCCTAATTTCAATAATCTTTCAACAAAATTCTGGATGACAACAAGAACAATTGAGATTAAGATCTTCAAAGATGACTGGATAATCTTTAATAACCAGCAGGTTGGATATTATAAAGTTTATTACGATGAAAACCTTTGGAATCGAATAATTGATCAGTTTCTTGCTAATCATAGAGTCATTAATATAATCAATAGAATGACACTCATCAATGCACTTGCAGAAGCTGTTAAATCAGAGATGTTGGATGCTACATTTCTACTGAGGCTGTTTAAGTATTTTAAGCACGAAGATAATATAGATATCATTAAAACAGCTGCTGATCCTCTTTGGTACTTATTTTCAATCCAAACATTAAAACCGACAAATGAGTACAATCAACTCAAATCAGAGTTAAAGATTACATACACAATTGCATACGAAAAGATCAAGCATGATGAATTATACGAGGCAATTCATAATATAGCATGTCATTTAAATGTCAAAAGTTGCACGACTGATGCTATTAATAAGATGTTACTTGACTTTAAAATTCACGGAATAAATATTGATCCTTTACATTCCTATTGTAATGCCCTTCAACATGCAAATGATTCAGTCGTGGAGATGTTTTATGACTTTAGAGAACCGATCATTGACAAACACGAAAATCATACATTCTTTAGTGACATAACCTGCATACAGAATCCAAAACTTTTTAAAAAGTCTTTAAATATTTTCTTTGAAAATGAAAACCACAAAAAGTATTTTAAAGAACCTCCATACATGGATCCTGAAAAACTTTTTGCTGGCTGGACGATGACAGATGCAACAAGAGAAGGATTTATTAGCTTCCTAGAGACTAATTTGAAGAAACTAGCATCCGAGTAAGTCTTTTTTAAAGCGACACAACGAGAGATAAGTTAAGTTTTATAGTTTAAATCTGTTGTGCCGCTTTGGGTCTATTTTTTATAAGAATAAGATAAAAATCAATTTGTTTTCTTTCTTTAAGATCACCAGAGCTTTTCAGCGATTTACTTTTTTATGGACGGAATACATTTGAAAATGATTCGGAAAGGAAGCAACTAAGAAAAATTAAGAAAAATGCTCAAAAAATAAACTCTAGAATTAATGATGAAGACTTGATATGATCTAGCATCTGTATTATTTTATAAGCATCCATAAACCTATTGAAATCTGTTCTTATCGTTTAAATCTGTGAATTGTAACTTTCTTTTCCAACAGGAAGGTTTAAAGTTGCACTTAAAACAATAAAAATGATGAAAATAATTTTTCTTTATCATTTCAATTGATGGCTGACATTAGGGGCCATTCACTTATTACGTAACGCTTTTAGGGGGGGAGGGGGTCTAAGATTTTGTTACGGTTCAAACAAGGAATTTTTTTTTTCATACAAATTTTGTTACGAGGGGGGGGGGCGGGGGTCTAAAAAGTCATTTTTTCGCGTTACGTAATAAGTGAACAGCCCCTTACGGGATTCATTACTTTCGTACCGTTGCAGAAGATTGTGTCAATCCAGGGAGCTAAGTAGATTTACAAACAGGAAGCGAATTCTTATTTAAAGAGGGGCGATGCTCGCACTTTAAGCTGTCTTCCTCTGATTATTGAATGGGTTGAATCTCTGTTGCAGTCATTGTAATGATATGACGAACGTTGTTCCTAAACGATGCCTAATTTTCAAAAAAAGAGACTCTTTCGTTGATTTGTAAACATGAGCTGATTTAAATTTGCATTTTACAATATAATGTTCTCTGCCTTCTATCCTCAGTTGAGTCGAAATATTTCAAGAGAAATGTTGTGCTGCAAAATATTAAATTATGTAATATTTACTTTCTTTAATCTAGTGCTAAGGAATGATTCCATAAATGTTAACTCTTTGTCTTATCATCTGCCTATTTAAAATATGATCTGAGTATTAAAGTGCATCTAGAAAGGAACCAAACTTTGTATGAAGTTTACAACATAACACTGAATTCTCAGTTTATAAAGGATGTCAAAAATATTACTGTACATGAAATCAGTTCCATCACAAAACAAGCAGCAACATTGAATTTTATGACTCACAAAAATCTTTTTGATTGTCGATCCATTAAGGAGACGTCTGCAAAAGCTGAAAGCAAACGCACTGAATATAAATCATAAAGTTAATGATGATTCAATCGAGTCTTAGCTTGCTTGTAAGCAACTCAATTAAACAACAATTTAGCACTTGTAAGTCATTAATCTCAACTGTTAAGTTTTTAATAAGCTTGTGCATTCCTGTAGTAGATTTAATCAGGTTTACTCTTTAATCGCTTCTAGTAGTGCTTCAGAGAATTTATAATTGAAATAAAAAAATCTCTCAATCTATAAACTGCAATCTTTATTGATATTCTATTCGATTAGTTTCAATCAGTTGTTTGCAATTAAAGCTATAGGATGCATCTCTCAAGCATCTTATCAATAGTGACTTTATTATTAGTGTCGAGTGTGTTTGGACAGTCGTACCGTCTGCCAAATAATTCATATCCCCTGAAATATGATCTATGGCTGAAGGTCAATATTGAATCAAGTTCGCCATTTTTTGAAGGACATGTGAGGATTCATGTCAAAATACATGAACTTAGTGACAATATTACAATTCATTCAGATAAGCTTAGGATTAAGGAAATTAGCTTGACTGATTTAAGTTCTTCGATTAAATTTGAAGACTTAAGTTACAGCACTGATGAATCCAAAAACTTCTTAATGATCCAGCTTCCTTACACTATGTCAATTGATCATCAATTCATCCTTGACATAATATACGATGGAGCAATGGTTAAAGCTCAAAATGATAACTTGAAAAACAAAGGATTCATGCTAGGATCTTACGATGATGACAATTCAGACCCAGAAAGCTACATTTTCACAGAATTCGAACCAACTAAGGCACGAAAGTGCTTTCCTTGTTTTGATGAACCAGCTATAAAGTCGCATTTTAATTTACAAATCGATCATGATTCATCCTACAATGCTATTGCGAATATGCCTGTTATCAGTCGTGTGCAAAGTAACAAAACAATCAGTCACGTTACAACAATATTCCGGGAAACTCCAAAAATGTCAACATACTTGATCGCATTTGTAGTTTCTAAGTTTAAACATTTTGAGAGCAACGCAATTGGAATTCCACAAAAATTGTATGCTAGACCTTCATTGATCGATGAAGGGAAAGTGAATTTCGTTGGAATTCATCTAGATAAAATGTTAAAGACAGCTGAGGATTATTTTCAAGTTCCATATTCACTTCCGAAAATGGATCACGTTGTTGCACCGAATTACTTTTCAGCTATTGAAAATTGGGGACTTAATGGATATTCTGAAGAATATGTTTTGGAATTGGATAAAACTGGAGTCTTTTTGTGCTTCCTGCATGAAATTGCTGTAAGTAGCTTTGTTTTTTTGATTGACATCATAAGTGAATGCACCCTAATCTAACCTTTGTTCCTTACAGCATCACTACTTTGGAAACTTAGTAACACCAAAATGGTGGACACACATGTGGATGAAGGAAGGCTTTGCTAAGCATTACGAAATTGAACTTGCCAAACTAATCTTTCCAGAACTAAAAAAGGAAGTTGAGGCGTACAGAGAATTCAGATACCAAACAGCATTAGCTGTTGATTCTGAAAAGTACGCTAAGCCTTTGAATTATTATGTTGAAGCACCTGATGAAATCTCGAAGAAGTTCCTTTATAGTCCAATTACTTATCTTAAAGCAGCATCGGTTATTAATATGTTTGAAAATTCCATTGGAACTGAAACTTGGAAAAGAGGAATGAAATTTTATATTGAAAGTTATCAATATTCATCCACTGAACCTGGTGACTTATATGAAGCTATTCAGAAGGTTGTGGATGAAGAATTGTCAAATAATACTATAAGTTTTAAAGATGCAATGAGTTCTTGGATAGATCAGGCAGGTTTTCCAACGATATCAGCTCGGTTAGAGAATGGAACTTTGAAGTTATCACAAAAAAGGAAAGCAGATTCTGGAAAGAATGAGATCTACACAATTCCAATCTTCTACGTATCTTCCAGTGATCCTGAATGCAGTAAACAAACTGCAAAGTTTTGGATGACTGAAAAGGAGATGAAAATTGAGAATTTTAATGACGACTGGATAATTATTAATTGTAAAAGTACAGGATATTATGACGTCGAGTATGACATAAACATATGGAATGGGATCATCAACCAACTTAATAAGAATCATACAGTCATTCCAAAATCATTTAGAAAGAAGCTAGTTCGAACTATCTTGAAGAATTCTGAAACTGTCTTTTGGGATTGTAAAACTTTAAATCAGATACTTAATTATTTGTATGTCGAGGAAGATCTAGATTCAATAGCTGTATCCATAAACTTATTGTACAATCACTTTGGAGAATGTTTGGTGGACGAAACTTTCTCTGCAAACTTCAAATCATTAGTAGAGAATGTCTATAAAGACATAAGGCAATATGGACAATATGCAATGGTCAAAAAGCTAGCATGCTCGCTAAAAGTCCAGATCTGTATATCTGATAGCATTGAAGGGCTGATTAATGTAATAAATTCACATATTATTAGTTCGGACTTTCCTTACTGTGATGCTTTAAAACATGCTAATAAAACTATTGTAGACATTGCCTATAAATTTGTATTAGATAAATCTTCAGACGAGAGAGTCTTCAAACTTATTTATGGACTTGGATGTATTGAAGATGCTCAGCTGTACAGAAAAGCTTTGAATATTTTCCTTGATAGAGATTGGGATATAAAATATTTTTATGTGAGCTACTTGCTCAATAATTTGGATTCTCATATGAAAAAGGAAGCTTGGTTGGACTTTTTGGAGATGAATCATGCAAAGATTGTTAGAAGGTACGTTTAACTTTAGATTTAACTCTAATAACGGTAATTTAAAATTTGAATTATAGACTTAAAATCAAATTTTAATAATTTTTCCCACTTCCAGGCCATTCTTAAAACAACGGTTACTTATTAACTTGAGATCCAACGTACGAAAGTTCCCACAGAAAGCTCGTCTCCAAAATATAATGGATAATTTAAAGCATTAACAAAGAAGTATGCAAATAAAATGAGGAATGAATCACAAATGTTAAATTTACTGTTTTATTTATGGCATTTTCTCTCTACCCGGAATTCTCGCATGCATAATCGATGTGATCAGATTGAATTATCAATCAATCGCTATTTAGCGGTCAGCGAGTAAAGATGTTTTTGAAAACATTCTCAGTTATTATTGAATTATCGATCGTGTGCTTTGTAATACCTGGCTGTGATTTTGCATCACCTTACAGATTGCCAAATAATTCATATCCTTTAAAATATGACTTAAGTTTAAGAATGAATGTGGAAGATAAATCATCACATTTTAGTGGACGTGTTAAAATTCATATCCAAATTAAGGAAGCTAGTAACTCTGTCACACTTCATTCTTTAGATCTGTCAATTCGAAAAATTATTTTAACGGATTTAACTTCGATGAATAAATACAAAAGTGTGACTTATAAGTTGTCAGACATTGGGGATCTCCTGATTATTAACCTTCCATGCAACATGCCTGCTGACAGTGAAATTCTTCTTGATATTCAATATCACGGCTATATGACTGAGGCTGATGCTGATGTAGTGACTAATAGAGGACTTGTTATTGCAAGCTTTAAAGACACCGACGACACAGCTCAGAATTATATTTACACTGACTTTGAACCAGCAAAAGCACGACAATGTCTGCCTTGTTATGATGAACCAGGAATTCGAGCGTTATTCAGTCTACAAATCGAGCATCATGCATCTTACAATGCAATTGGAAATATGCCTGTCCTCAGAATATATCAATCGAATTCAGCAAACAATTACGTTGTGACTTCATTTAAAGAAACCCCAAAGATGCAATCGTACCTTCTAGCCTTTACTTTATCAAAGTTCGACTACATACAAAGCAACGATTTAGATATACCACAGAAAATGTATGCAAGACAATCGAGAATTGTAAATGGGGATGTAAATAAGATTATCGTCTACCTCGACAAAGCGTTAAAGGCATTTGAAGAATATTTTAAAGTTCCTTATTCGCTTCCGAAATTAGATCACTTTATTGGACCAGATTTTTATACAGCTATTGAAAATTGGGGGATCATTGGATATTCAGAAAGGTTCTTATTTAGTGATGATCATTTTTCAAATATTCGGACACTATTGCATGAGATTGCTGTAAATATGCTATGATTTTTTGTATTACTTTCAATAAATTCTAATACTTAACATTTCAGCATCAATACTTTGGGAACCTAGTGTCTCCAAAATGGTGGTCTTATGTGTGGCTGAATGAAGGACTTGCTAAATTTTATGATACTGAATTATTGAAGCTAGTCATTCCAGAAGAGATGGTAAAAATTGAAAGACATTGGCAGACAATAAGATTCTATGCCTTCCTAGTCGATAACCAAGATTCAACAAATCCAATGAATCATTATGTCGAAGAACTTGAGGATATAAGCAAGAAATTTGATAATATTATTTATCATAAAGCTGCTTGCATTATTCAGATGTTTCAAGGTGTTGTAGGCGTTGAGACTTGGAAGAAAGGAATTAAATATTATTTGGAAGATAATCAATATTCAGCAGTTGAGCCAAATGACTTGCATAAAGCTGTTCAAAAATCGCTGAATGAGGATCATCCTGGAAATTCCCTAAATATAAATGAATTGATGACTTCTTGGGAAGATAAGGCTGGATACCCCAAAATATTTGCCAGCTTAGTAAATGGATCATTAAGGCTTTCGCAAAAACGAGATGTTGATGCTAAAGGTCTACAAAATGCAGTCTACAACATTCCAATAACTTACTCAACTTCAGATGACCCAAATTTCGATGACTTAACAACAAAATTTTGGATGACTGAAAAGGAAATGGAAATCAAGGGTTTTAAAGACAAATGGATAGTCTTAAATAATCAACAAAATGGATACTACAAAATTGACTACGATGAGAATCTTTGGAACCGAATAATCGATCAACTTCATGCAAACCATTCAGTCATTCATCACATCAATCGAGAATGGCTTTTTAATTTCAGATTGTATAGACTTTATGCTGATGATCATGAAATATCCACAACTTTGCGATTTTTGACTTATTTAAAGCACGAAGAAAATGTTTATGTCTTGTTAGCTATGCAAACTCTACTCAGAAAGTTTTTAGAAGCTAATCGGAATGATGAAGCTATTAAGTCAGAATTAAAAGATATCCTTGAAGTTGTTTATCAGAAAACAAAGAAACAAGAGACAATCTATACAATTAAGTCCATATCACATCAATTAGGGGTGCAAGTAGCTCTTGATGACTCAATTAATAAAATGATGAACATTTTGGGTCATCCACATAAAGATGCAAAGATGATATACTGTTATGGCTTGCAGTACGCTAATGAAACAATAGTTGAGATTTTTATGAATGCTTTAAGGCCATTAAAAGACATAAAGCTAGTGGAACCAATGCTTCATGGCCTTGGATGTGTAGCAGATGCTGAATTATTTAAGAAAGCATTAACAGTTCTATTTGAAAGAGACAATGAAGATTTACAGACTATTCTTTATTCATGGATAAAAAAAATGGAAACTGAAGAAAAAGTTGATGCCTTTCTGACATTTTTGGAAGAGAATTATTTAAAACTAAAAGAAAGGTAAGCCTTGGTCAGGATGTGGAGTTTTTTTAGTAAAATTTCAATAATTTTAGATCTTCGGACGTGCTGGAATTTCTTCTAATCAATTCTATATCCTCGATGAAAACAGATTATCAAGCTGATCGTTTAAAAAGTTTAAAACTATGAACTCTTATCAATCTGGTTATTATAAAGCTTCAAAATTACAGTTTTACATTTGATTAATCAGCTTGTAAGTATGTCGTTATCTTGGTCAAATTATATTTGATACAGCATTTTCACACCGTTTTATGCTGTAAATATATTGTAATCAACACGACTTCGTATTTTAAGCTTTTTTTATTATGTATAAGTATAAACAAGTTTATGATGAATACATTAATAAAGTTCTAGATTGATTTTGGGAAAAATCTCAATTCTTAGGATTCCCTTATTCCATAACAGCAGGCGTGTAGCTTCATAGAATCAATAACCCTTTGTCAACAGATATTGTTCATATATACATAGTCAAATATTTGGGTACTTGTATTAACATCTCTAATCCTATACTTAGAAAATGAATAAAGTTGTGTTTAGTTTTCGTTGTTTTTTTTTTTAAATAAAAGCTCTAACAAATATATTTTTGAGACCTGTTTCATGTTGAATTTCAAAGTGACACAATGGATGCGAAGGGATGGAACGTCAAACAATATACAGAACATAACGGGGAGCAGACTAAAAGTGCGAAAAAATTCTTCATGTTTTACGCAGATTTGCTAAAAGATTTGTATGGAGATGATCCAGTGACGTTGATTGATGTTGGATCTGGATGTGGACGTGTCTTGGTCAATATAATCTTAAAGGATAGTGAATTGAAGTTCTCAAAAGTAGTTGGAGCTGACAAGTGCACAAAAATGATTGATCATGCGAATAAAACATACGGAAGTGATGAATTAAAATTTCATTTGATGGACGTTCAGGAATGTGTTCCTGAATGTCTCAAGTCATTGAAATTTGATATTTTGACATCATTTTACTGCCTTCATTGGATTCATGACTTGAAAAAAGCATTCAATGTTATCAGTAGCCTATTAAAGCCTGGTGGTTTATTTCTTTGTGTCTTTCTGAAAAAGCATTTTCTGGCTGGCATTTATAGTGCATTGGCCCAGAAGTACTCACCATACATGGATAATTATGAGAATAAATTTAGTGAATTACTTTTCTTGGACAATGCTGACGAAGTAATTAAGGGATATCTTACTGAATGTGGATTCGAAATTGTCGAATTTATTGACGTTAAAAATGATTTATGTGACTTAAACAGCGAAGCTATAATGTCAGGTATTAATATTTGCAATTTTAGTCTGAGCAATTTTATTTAAGAATACTTTATTTGCAGAATCACTTGAAGTAATCAATCCATTCTTAAGTGCTATGCCAGATACCCTACGAAAAGCATTTTTACAAGATCAAATTGAAGTTTCCTATAAAATACAGACGGGAAAGAAAAATCCATTTGTGATCAAGAGAAGAATATTTTATTTCATTGCTAAAAAATTGTAAGTTTTATGAGACAATAAATCGTAATCTTAACTCTTTGTTGCTTAATTCTAATCTGTATTATTTGTTTATCAAATTAATAATTATGAATCAACATATGACAAGGTTAAGGGTTAAAATCAAACAACTATAAACAATTGAATAATAAATGTATGATTTTTCTAATTGATTCGACTCAAATAAAATCAAGTAAAATCCCTGTGGAAATTCTAATCACGGTAAATTCGGAACTTATGACTCTGAATGATTTGGTAAAAAACAAGTTTGATTTCATTAATTCACAACATTTTCTAGCTTTAATTCCAATTCTTTGGGTAGTAGCTCAAAAAACTTGTCAATGTGTTCATCTGTTACATCTTTTAAGGCTCTCGGATTCCATTTTGGTTTCATGTCTTTATCTATAATCATTGCTCGAATGCCTTCCATGAAATCTTCTGGATACGTTGTACTCATCCGCCATATTAAAGTATTTTCAATTTTCAGACATTCTTGTAGTGACAATGTGTTTCCCATCTTTAAAAGTTTGTGGCAAATTTTCAAACTCGTTGGTGACATTCTATTAAGTTTTTTAACTGTTTTAATTGCCCATTCACTTCCATTTGTGCTTAAATTGTCTATAATTTCTTCAACTGAACCACCATTGAAGCATTTGTCAATGTTTGGTAAAATTTTTTCAATAACGCTGTCTTTGCTGACTGAATTTGATGAAAATTGCAAAATTACTTTCTCAACTTCATAATCGTCTTGACATTCAACCACAGAGTTAACAAACTCATCTAGTTTTTTACTTTCGATGTAATGTGTAGCAAGTCCGTATTTTTTAACATCATACCCATGAATTTTAGCACCTGAAAGGCCAATATAATATCCGAGATTATATTTAAGCCTTGGTAGAAAGAAACTGGCACCAGCGTTGGTAAGAAATCCAATTTCAGTCTCGGGCATCGCAAAAATGGTCCTTTCTGTTGCGATTCTATATTTTGAAGGCATTGAAAATGAGCAACCAGCTCCCATAGTGATTCCATCATAAAGAGCTAAATAAGGCTTTTTGTACATTGACAATAAATTAGTTGCATTTGATACGTTGAATTGAATCGATGTTCCAACGTCCACCCAGTTTCTAATTTTTAATACGTTTAAAGTAGTTTTAATGTTAAAGGAATAATTAAGACATGTGTTATGAGCGATTGGCACAATTAATAAGAAATTATGTTCAACATACTGCTTCATGTCTATACTTTTCTTCAATCGTAGGAGATCGATTCCAGCACAAAATGCTTGATTTCCAGCACCTTGAATGATGACAAGCTTGTTGTCTGACGCTTCTAAACCTTTTATCAGTTCATACAACTCTCTGAAATCAAAATTTTCACTATTCTCCTCACAAAAAAAGTAAATTAAATTAAAATGCTACTTGTGCATTCCTGGTGTGATGGTATTCATCTTTTTAGGACGATTGAGTGTAATAACAGCTGCATTTTTAATCTCTTCTAATATGATCCGATTGGATTGAAAAGATTTCAAAATTCCTGGAAACATTTTCCTGCTAATGATAAATTTCAAACTTATTACGTATCGCTAAAGACTTGATTTTCAAGCCCACTTTATCACACATATTCTACCAACAGTTTTATCATCATGTAAACGCTGTACAAATTTTAAGAAAAGATTTAGGGCCGTTCACTCATTACGTTACGCAAAAAACGACTTTTTTCACACCCCCCCCCCCTCCCCCCCTTGTTACAACTCAACCCCCCCCCCCCCTGAACGTTCATAATTTATTTTATCATTAAAAAGGTGAAAAATGTTTTTGGTATGAATTTGTATTATATTTTTTTCGTGAACTTTGTTTTAAGACAGACGACAGTTAGAACAAAACATACTTCTTGACCCCCCCCCCCCCCCCTATGTTACATTTTGTTACAATTTTTCAAACCCTCCTCCCCCCTAAAATGCGAACGTAATAATTGAACGGCCCCTTAACACAAATGATCAGCTTTAAAAGTTTATGTTATTATATTTGGTCTGCTATGTTCCGAAAATGTCGTAAATGACCTAGACGCATTTTTATAATTTTTTTACCCTTCGTATTATCTTCAACACAGAAAAAATGTGTCGTGCTTGATAGTCAGAATAGTACTGACTTATTAAGCTTGTTTTTCTTGTAACTGACATGATGAAATATGTAATGCGGATAGAAAAGTCGTTTATAAATGATGTCTTAATATTTGGGCGAAAACTAATAATTAGCCAATTGCTTGAACTGTCACAAAGCATGTAATAAGTGAACAGACATTTAAGTAATGATTATAATTTTTTATTCTAGAAATGATATTAAAGATGTTTTTTAAAACTTTTAAATATGAAATTAAATAATGACTTGTTACTCTATTGCATGCAAAGTGCTGTCTAAAGAAGCTAAAATTAAGGAAGTGTTCGTCGAGAACTGTCAAAACCGTACAATTCCAATAAAAGCTGTTGAAAACTTGAGGAAATTTGTACGGATTTTGAATTTGAATATTTTTCGACGGTTAAATTGACTAATATTAAATTCTAATCTACAAAACTTTTGCAGTCCTCACAAATTGGGGTAGCAAAATCATCAGTTTGAATGGAGCATCCGAAGATGTTAACACAGTTTACGCACAAGCTTTTTGAGCAGTAAGAGCAATGCTCCTTGCAAGCCTCACAAATTTTCAAGTTACAACAACTACAAATACTATTGTTTAAGGATGTGTCGATGTCTTTAAGGCACAATTTACATCCAAGAGAGTTGGTTGGCAGTTTCTGTTAAAGATAATGTAAAGGAATTTACTTAATGCTGTGTATTTCCCTCCTTTTTGACTTACATCTTCAATTTTATCTTCTAATGTTTTGTCTAATATTTCCCCGTCATTTTCGACACTTTCAAGGCTCTTTCGTTGACGAGATCCAGAGAACATCATACTTAATGTCTTTTCTATATTGAATAACATAATTAAGGCAACAAATCTTGTGAAATAGAATGGATATTTACCATAAACTTTTTGCATCAATATCTTGTCATTTTGTTCGACTAATCTGCTCGTTACTAGGTATTTCTGCTGACGACTTCTGTCATCTACATCTGTTCTCAATCTTTTTCGTCCTACTTCCATTTTAAGGTATGAATTTATCTAATTAAACTTAAATTGCGATTGATGTTTTACTGGATATTTGTAAATAAATTAAAACTCACCACGGCTAGGTGAAAATCAACTGGAAACTTTTGAATATTTTTTAACGTTAAATTATTTTTGCAAATTCACCACTCGTCTTGTGCTTGATTGATTTTATTAAAATAAAGTTAAAATTTGTTTTTTCAGCATTTAAATTATTTACCAGTTATTAAAATTAAAATCGTAAGTTGTATCTTTCTTCTTCTTTGCTGGAGGCTCAGAAGAAGTGCTAGGAAGTGATGTTTTCGTGGCTGGTTTTGCTAAATATTTGCCAACTCCTTCTCTGTAAACTTTAAGTGCTGTACTTTTTTGTTGCTTCTTTTTCTTCGCTGCCATTAGCTCATCTTTTTCTTTTTGAATTTTCTCAGCTTCAACTCTTCTTAGTTCTTCTAATTCCTGGTCTACTTCCTCGTATGGATCAACAAAGACTGTGCAACTTTGAATGATTATATCTTCAATTGGATAGTCAAACTTGTCTACTTCCACTTTTTCCATGTCATTTAAAGATTCTCCACCACCAACAAGCTTTCCAAAAATCACGTGCTTGCCATCAAGATGCTTACATGATCGATAAGTGATGAAGAATTGTGAACCATTTGTATTTGGACCTGAATTGGCCATTGATACAATTCCTCTGAAGTTGTGGCTTAAACCTGGCTTAAATTCATCTTCAAACTTATTATTCCATATTGAGGTTCCACCTTTTCCAGCCTTGCCATGCTTACTTGTTGGGTCACCGCCTTGAATCATGAAATTTCTAATTGATCGATGGAACTTAGTGCCATTAAAATATCCATTTTTGCAGTGCTTAAGAAAGTTCTCACATGTTTTTGGGACATCATTACAGAACAATTCAATGTTCAATGGACCAAAATTTGTATTAAGCCTAACATATCCTTTCTTTTTAACACGTTCGTACCTCACAATATCATCAGCTAGAACATCTGCGTCATTTCTACTTGTCGGTTCCATAACTGTTGATGTAAAGCTTGCAGCAACACGACCTGTTGAATAATATGCAGCATTGAACTTGTCAGGTCTTTTAATTTCGTCATCTTTAGTCTGTTTCTTCTCTTTGTATGTGGATTCAAGTTCATCGAGGATTTCTCTCGTTTCTGTCGTCATTTTCTGAAGTCTCTGTTTAGGATCTAATCTCATAAGCCGTTCTTCTTCTGACTCTACACGCAAGTTATTTTTAATATAAAAGAACTTGGAAATATCAAACTTCTCCAGTCGAGTTGGATCCTGAATGGTGATGATGTCTTTACGTGTAAATGGCTCATCATTGATCAAGTCCTTCCAATTTTTTGTCTTGATGTTAAGTTGCTCAACTGCTTCATATGAAAAGACATTTCCAGTGGTTTTAATGTAGACAACATGAGAATTCTTTGTAAATGGCTTAAAAAGTGCTGGACATTGGAATCTTGCCATTTCCTCGCTATCGTCATTTGTATTGTTTGCGAATGTAAGCTTTGTAAGTCCTTTCTTCACGTCTAGTGGCTCTCCTGTTACTGTAAGACAGATATAATTATTACGTGACATATTTTATGTTTCACTGGATGTCTTACCTGGATTTTTTTTGAACTGCTTTACAAATTTAGCAATTGGTTCCAGTTCGAAGACATTTCCATGCTCATCAGCATAAGGGATTTCGAATGGTATCTGAGATAAGCAGCAATGGTCGAATGGAAGTCTTTTGAACTTTATGTGCTCATTCTCAAGGTTTTCAGCCTGAAAATGATTAATTTAACTTATTATTTTGGAGAATTTAAACGTTTTTCGAATTTAATACCTTTTTGCCACCAAAGAGTGTACCCCATTCTGTGTACGTAAGGTACATCTTATCCTTTTGATGCTGCTTCTTTCCCATTTTGATTAATTAATGTAGATTTGCTGATATTTTAAGATTGTTATTTTTTGTTGATTTTTATTTTAAATTCACCACTAAAAACAATAACAAAGTGGTGGATTGAAAAATTTAAAAAAAAAACCCGTTAAATTTTGTGGTGAACGTGTTCTTTCACACAAAACTGGGCCCTAAAAAGTTTTGTTTACAAGTGAAAAATTGAGTGAATCAGATATTCTATAAGTTTTATAGGACACAGAGTTATTTGAGGCTCACAATGGGATTCATTCAAAGGTAAATGACTAGATACAGTGATAGAAATGAGGCAAATCGGACATAAAAACTAATTAACAGTATGACTATATCATACAATTATAGGGCATTATTTACATGGTTCACAACAGTTGTCTTCCTGATTTTGCTGTGTCTGCGTCTGGAAGGAAAAATTAACTGGAACTACTTCTTAATCTTCATAACGTTTTGGTTCTACGATCTGATTTTAATAATTTGGGTGATTTTAGAGCTAATTAAGAGACATCAGCATTATAGAGTTATTGATTCCTTTAAAAAGTAAGCAGAAATTGTAAAATATCCAGTAATGATTCATTGAAGCATGTCCTCAATTATCTTCACAGGTACCAATACTATATCTACGGAATCTTATTAAAAATCTGCTCACAAATATCAATTTGCCTGAAACTAGACTACAACGTTTTCAAACTTTATATCATGATGATTCCAGTTTGGCTTCTTCTCGTCCAATTAATAATTTATGTAGGACTTAATCTCATCCCAAGCAAGCAGTCATCATCGTTGGTCCGTCAAGCTCATGTGACACGATTGCAACCACCCAGCAATTCTGTAGCTTCCTGATCTTGAGTAGAATATTCACGTTTGGATGGATTCGAGATGATAAATGGCACTTTAGAGCTGTTGGACTAAGAGAACTGAAATAGAAATGTATATCTAGGGGTCGTTCACTTATTATGACAGGGTGGGGTCTGAAATAAATAACAATATAACAACCCAGTAGCTGAAAAACAAAATTATATGCTGAATATCAAGTAACAGAACAAAGAAAGATTTTTTTTAAATATTTTTATTTAAATTTTCATCCGTTTAAATTTTCATCGATTTTCTTGACTTTTTTTGCATTTCACCTTTTTATCTACATTTAAAACCATATAATTAATGTTCTTCATCATTTTTATATCGTTTAACAATAGAATTTTTCAATTTATATTTTTTTTTTCGATTTTGTTTTAATTGTTTCAAAAAATTAATTTTCATTATTAATTCATTAATTCATGGGTATTTTTTTCTGGTGAGTGTTTTTCCCTTTTCTTTTTTTGGGAAATTTAATCTTAATTTTTTTTTCATATAAGAAAAAGGGGAAATAAGAAAGAAACTGATTTTTTTACTTCAACCTTAAAAGTTTTTGTTAAATATGCAATTTGAATATAATTACTAATGACGATAAGTAACTATTACTTTTTTTACTTAAAGTTGACCCGAGGCCTATAAATCGCTTTCGAGGCATTTCTGTTTTTTATTCTTTTTTTTCACGATGCATAATTATAAACTTTTTTTTTGCTTTTTTTTTAAATTCAACAACTATTCACTTTCATATTAAAATTTTTTTATTTTAAATCGTTTTTAATTTTTTTTCATCTTATTTTCTTTATGTTCATTAAAAGTATATATACTAAGTAAATTTTGATGCAAAAAAAAAGTTATGATAAAGTAGATTCCGAAAAAACGTGTCGAAAAGTTTTTATTCATTATTATTTTATTAGAAGTATTTTATTGGCTTTCTTGCTTAATTACTCAGTGGAATGAGAGAAGCACTTCGAAAATCGTTGACCAAGTTTTGAATTTCTTTAATTAAAAACCTTACAAATTCTTACTTTTAAAATATTTGTAAGGTTTTTGAATTTGCAGACTATTATTGGGTGTTGATTGAAATTTCAAACATTTGTAGTGTTTTAAAAAATCAAATAATTTTTAAAAAGCAATACAAATGTTTACAAGTTTCGTATGAAACCCTACAAATACAGAAAAGTTTGAGTAAGGCTTTTAAAAAAGATTCAAATTTTAACCGTTAAATTCTCAGTCACCAATCTTCAATCCCTCACCGTGAGACGATCAAAACTTGCATGTTCGAAGAAACATCATTGATCGTCAAAAAGCCAAAAAGTGTTTCTTCCATTCTTCCTTAAAAACTCGTGTTTAGTGATTTATTGGCACAGAAAAAAATTAAAAATTACAAAAATTTTCATTCTTCCATTTTTTCATTTCTTTTTTCTCTCATGCAACAAACAAACCGTTTAGCATAATAAATCAATTGTGATATTTCTTTCTCGTGTAATTTGTTGTTACTGTTGTGATAAAATGAATTAATTAATTAATATATAAATAATTGAAATTGAATAAAAAAAAAATTACAAAAATGATAAAATTTTTTTTAACTTTATTTTTTAATTCTAAGGTGCAAAAACTTTTTACTTTTTTGTTTCATATTTCTTTGTAATTGAAAGTACGTATCTCGGGGGAAAAATTCATCTCATCTGTATCGTTCGGTTTGGTTGTATATAATCATAATAATTTGTTATATATAATTGCGTAATTTATTTAAAAACATTTCCTTCTTTCAGATTGAATTAATCTTCACATTACTGCAATGTAACATTTAAATATGGTAAAAATTTCTTCATTCTCTATACTTATATGCGTTTTCTGTCTGTGAGAGCGTGTGTGTAGGTGTCTGGTTAATTTTATTTGCTGGTACTGGGGGTCCTCGATTTGAGTAGATTCGATTTGAACAGAAAATTTTTTACCCACCAAAATATTGGATTTGAGTAGATTTCTTCCTATTTTCTTCGATTTGAATTGTTTACAAAACAAACATTTTTGATAAAAACATTTCAGAAAATATTTTTAAAACATAAATTTTACTACAATATGCTTGAATTTATCATATTGATTGAAAAATCAATACTAAAGTTACAAAATTAAAGAAAAAATTTAAAAAATCGATATAAAAGTTCAAATTCAAAAACCTTACAAATTGTTCGGTAAAATAACATTTGCAAGATTCTCATATTTTTGTTTTGTTTTAAAAACATATTTTTTGTGAATTTCTGTTTAAAAACAATATGAATATGCGTTGAAATAAATTAAGTTATCTAAAACACAAAGGAAAAGTTAAGAAACGAGGTAAAATGCGCAAAAAATGATCAAAATTTTCATTGTTTTAATACATTTTTTGGACTCTGGAACAAAACATGTGATTTTGTATGGATTCTTTGCCTCGATTTGAATAAATTCGATTTGAGTAGAATTTTTTTGGAACAAAACAACTATACAAATATAGGACCCCCAGTACTTTGAACTGAGATTGTGAAATTATTGAAGATTTTAGTGGATCTATTGTAGGGTTTTGCATCAACTGGATATTTAATTCTTTTGTTTTCAGTTGGCATAATCATCCTGGATGTTGATATTTACATTTTGTCGATTCTTTAGAGTTTTGCAATGATTTGTCACTAAACTGACTTTTAATTGCCAATTTAAGAAGTTAATCATGTCAACAAACCTCGAAAGTTCAACAAAATATCAAATTTGGATTTAAACTTGATGACTTTTAACATCTAGAACTAATTCTAAGATACTTGCCACGAATTTGAAGATCTTTATTGTTTACATCTGGTTTGAACTGTTTAAGTCTTTGAATTCCCAAAATATAAGCTTGATTATGACTAAAAACTGGATTCTCCAAATAAATTTCAAATCAAAAGCAAATTAAATTCACGAAAAAGTTGCCTGATAAATGCTTTTCCTTCTCGATTTCTAAGTTAGCTTTTGCTTAGTTTTGATAATTTAATTTTCATATTTTTCCTAGTTAAAGAAATTCAATTGTGATAAAAATCTTCAAATAATATTTTTCTTGTGTGTAGGAAGAGTGTGAGTGTGTGTATAAGTATAGTATAGTCTACATAAAGTGAATCATTTCTTCATTATCGATTAACTTCTTCATTATCATCATCGTGAGTGTGTATATGTATAAAGTTTATCATTTATTACTTATATAAAAGGAGGATTCATGAGACATTTGCTTGCTTGCTTCTTCCTTTTTTACCTATAGATAATTATTCAGTTTTTTCTCATTTTTTCGGTATTTTTAAAAATCAGATTTAAAGTTTAAGTTAATTTTTTTGTGATTATTATTATTGGTAATTATTATTTTATTGTGACTCGTGGATTTATGCTTCTTTTTAAAAAATTATTATGGGGTTTTGGGTGTCAAAATGCAGGTTGATGGACTTTTTAAGGGAGTGTATTTTGGATATCTATTGAATTTATTAATAGTCGCTGGATTATTGAATTTGCTCTGTTATAATTCTTGAATTTGTTCTGCTAAAACTTGAATTTTGATAAATCTTTTGAATTCGTTCTACTAAAGTTCTCGAATTCGCTCTACTAAAGTTCTCGAATTCGCTCTACTAAAGTTCTCGAATTCGCTTTGCTAAACTTCTTGAATTCGCTCTACTAAATTCAACAAAATTTTTTGAAACAAACCTAACCTTAAAAAAATCCCTCAACACAACACTTGAACACCCAAACATCAGGAGAATATTAGGACTATTTATAATAATGTTTTAACAATTCGGATGAGGAACAGCACAAAGGGATGAATTTGTATAATTTTTCATCATGTATGTGTGAGTGGATTTGATATTTTCATTTCGTTCTTTTTGATTGATTTCATCATTTAATAAAGAGAATGCAATTAACTATTCGTGCAAAGTGATTCACTTTTTTTTGTTCATTATAATTTTATTATTATTCTTTATTTATTTATTATTACTATTATTATTTATTATAAAACATTGTTTTATTTATTATTAAACCTGTGTGTTTGTTTAATGTGTATTTTCGTGTGTATATTGCAGGGGATCTGTAAGAACTCAAAGCATCTGACTTATAATAAGAATTAACTTTTTTTTTCAACTACTTTTTATTCAATTGTTTACCTATTAATAATGTTGAGACATAGAGCTGATCGAGTGTCAACTATGTGAGTGTGTTTGTATAAAGAGCTGATAAATCATCTCAGAGCTTCTTATTCCCCTGATTTTGGTGTTTAAGGAGAGTGATTTTTTTCCTCTTTATTTATTATTTTTTTATATTATTTAATTTTTTATTTCTAAAATTTGCATTTGCCGAACTAAAATCATTTATGGGAAATCATCAATTGTCAATTCCTTTTTATCCTTATAGTGTTTGGATTTATAAATTTTTTTTTAAAAAACATTAAAAATGGAAATTAATTGGAAGATAAGGACAAAATAATACTGAAATTATTGATTTAATTCATTTTATTTTGATTTTGATGAACTAGGGTCGTTGCTAGATAGAATGAGAATTTTAGTTGCTATACTCTTAGATTTAGAATGTTCAAAATAAAATTTTCGACCTTTTTTGGTTAACTTTTCAAATTTAACGGAAAAATTAAATTTCAACATTTGGATGGTTTTGATTTTATTCATCAGCTTTTATAGGGTTTTGACCAAATTCAAATTTAACTCCGACCTTTAAATTTGGAAAATCTTTAAAATAAATCCAAATCAGCCTAAAATTTAACTAGCAGCTGCTCAGAGCAATCATCCCAACCCATCAACAAGCCTGTTCATCAGAAAAAAATATCAAATTTCTTCAGTTTTTAAAAAAAAGTTTTTAGACTCACGTTTTTCTAAAAATCTTTTTGAGCATTTCGATTATTTGGCGATTTTTAATTTAATATTCAAATTGCTGCATGCAATTCAGTAATCTTTGATTATCACTCATCAATTTAATTTAACATTTTTTCTTCTTCTTAATTCGTCATTTAGTGTCATTAGGATTTTTTCATCATTCTTTACACATAAAAAGTTTACATCAAAAGTAGATTAGCTTAGATTCTAAATTCATGAATAAGTTTTTCTTTCTTTCTTTTCTGTTAAGTTATGTTATTAGTTTGTTTTATTGATTGCATTATCCCGTTCATAGCTTTACCGCTTCTTTTTAAGGATTTTTTTTCTTTTTAAAAGAGCAATTTTCATGTAAAGGTAAATTAAACAAGGAAATTGGATCAAAAATGAAGGGAAACAAGAGTTAATGGAACCTGATGCTTGTGGATAATTGACTGATTTTGAGGATTTTTAAGCTTGTTATGTCTTGAAAGTAAAGATGTTTGGAAACTCTGAATTTTAAAGTTTGTTGACTGAGTTTTTTCAAGATCCTGGACCAAATCTTTAATGGAAATGCTTATTTGATTGAGATTCTTTGAATAACTGATCAGTAAAGACCAGATGAAGATATACATCCAGTAGAGATATTTGTTGAAACTTCCAGGATATCAAAGGTTTGGTTAAATAAGTTTACTTTTGATACTTTCTCACATCAACAAAACATCTTAAGATATCTTCAGACCAATAACTTCATTATTCAATCCTCAAAAAAAAAACCATTAAAGCAAAAGAATATGAACAAAAAATTCCATTCCAAATCATTTATTGCCTAGAACTAAGGCATAGCCATAAAAAAACTTTCGAAATTGCAATGGCTGAATTGTTCAA